CATGTGCAGTATAGACCTGGTAGAGAGATGGGAGGGGGTAAATTGCTCTCATGCTGGGGGTGTTGTACATGTATTTCTGTTGATGGAATGCACGGTAGCTACTGTGGTGACATGACACACACATTAGCAAACAGGCAAAAAAGTATAATTGGACACCACTAACCCGCTAGCCGCCGCGTTTCAAATAGGGAGTGAACATGGGGGCGCTTCTGGCTCCATCCACTGTTTCCAATTGACATTCTATTGAAAAATTGTTCCTCCTGTCTCGGGAACTGCTGTAGAGAGCCTCGCCATTTTGGGCTTAAAATGTTCATATTAACCCGCTCTACATGGTTCTGGTGTTTATATTGTTATTTTGGCCATAAATAAATTCCTATTTCTTCGTCCCATAACGGCTAGCCTCAGTGAGCTATGGGTGAAGTCGCACTCCCTTAGTCCACTTTACGCAGTCTATGATTAACACTGTTCTACGGTGGCCAATGCAGGGCCAAACACACTGCAATGGCCCAATTCGTCTCAGAGAAAACAGCTTCAAGTACAGAAACAATGCAAATTCACAAACTCAAATACAAGTTTAAATGAGGTACAAAGAAAGAATGTGGTACAAATGAAAAAAGCACTTCAAGAAACAAAGACAAATTTATGATCATCAAATGCACTGCAGATAAAGAAACGATGCAAAGCAAAAACCTGCAAAAGAAAAATGCTGCATAAAAAGTTGCCACAACGGAAGTGCTCCAAACCTGCACCTGTCCCATTTCGGCATGGCCTTTGTGGTCTGCAGACACGGCTACTGAGAGCGCCCCCTGCAGGATTTGGTGACACTTTATCCAGCGTTTTTTATTTGCAGATGTTTTCTTGGTTTTCATCGTGTTGCGCTTTGCATTGTTTTTCTATCTGCAGCACGTTTGATGATACATTTGTCTTTGTTTCTTGCAGCACTTTTTTTTTCATTTGCCCCACGTTCTTTGTGCCTTGTTTGAACTTTTGTTTGAGTTTGTGAATTTGCATCATTTCTGTACTTGAAGCTGTTTTCTCTAACTGAGACGCATTGGGCCATTGCAGTGCGTTTGGCCCCTGTCGGCCACCGTACTGTTGTCATGGCAATTAACAATTCAAAAAATCAGAAGTCCTCAAAATAGAGCAGGAAACCAATACCCATGAATATAAAACACAGCAAAGTCAAAACGGTATCAGCAAAAACTGGTAATTATACTACCGTGACATTTATAGTTATCTTTTCTCTTATTATATATAAATTTTATGCTCACCATTCAGCATTACAAAAGCTTCTGTGTAAATATTTCAGGGGAATGTCCGTAAACAAACTTGTGCAGTGCCTCCCTTTGCCTGGAGGTAGAGACCAAACCCAGGCTCCTCTGGTTCACAAAGAGACTTATCCAAATGTTATTTTTTTATTCACTCTCCTCTCCTGAGCTCTGATTGGTTGAGCGATCAGCCACAGAAATCCTTCATACCATAGTAGAGTCACTGAGGGCAAACTGAATATCGATACCAACAAATAAACAAGGACATTTTTATGAGTGAGAATAGAAAAGTTGATCAATATATAGGATTTCCAAAGCTGAAGTTGTGGAGGGTCTGCAGTGATCAGTAACAGAGGTGGTTTAGGACGTTGTTTAGACCTGGTTTAGTCACAGTTTAGACCCGGTTTCATTCTGATTTAGACCTCCATTAGTCCTGGTTTAGGCCTGTTGTGCTTGCATCATTATTTTATCATTTGCAATGTTACTTCATTTACTTAATAATAAACAAAACAAGTCCACTGATTTATGTGTTCAAAAGCCCAATGGGAGCTGATGTCACCGTAAACAACATCACAAAAAAGAAAAAAGAAAAAAAGATTTGTACTGAAATGACTTCTGCGACGTTGCGGAATCCTACATGCATCACAGATTAAGAAAATTAAATTGGAGAACTAAGTTAGTAGTCTGTGTTTGCTGATGGCGGTGAAAACAGGAGTTGATCTGCAAACTGACATTTAGAAAATAATTGATTATAGATTGCTCAAACATGCGCAAATTACCATGAAATCCAACTCTGAGAGAAGTCAGTCTGTTTCAGGGCTATTAGAAAGTGGCCTAAAAGTTGCATAGATTTCCCTATATAACGCCACATTGCATCACTGTACATTGATTTACCTCTCAATACATCTGAACGTATTGCAGTCCCTTTTTACTCTGTCTTCTCTGCTCACCTAGTCTCACTTTGTCAAACTCACACCTTTTAGTTCAAACACGCCCTCATGACACATACTGAAAGTTCAATTCATATATAGAATCATTTTTACAGGCTCAGTAATTATTGTGTACCTTTTTATTTGTAATGATAGTTTGTAGTAGGTATAGTAGTTTTTTGTAGTATTAGTGTTATGATAACATTTGAGCTGTAGTTGGTCAAAGATGAACATCCATGACACATTATACAAGCGCTAACTGCTAATGTATTCATTTATTCATTAGTGCCCATATTTTTTTTACAATACGGTTCCTTATTCTGCTTCAGTTTTGTTGTTTCAATGTATGTTAGATGAATCAGTTAGTAAAATAATCATTAGTTGAAGCTGTAATATTTTTTTGCAAACATAGGGATGCATTTGAGATTAATTAATTGGATGTGTTGTGTAACCTGAATTTAAAACTTAAAAGAAGATGTCATCTTTAAATGTGCTTTCTGCTCTACACCTGTGTATCATTATGTGAAAATATGGACATTTTTCAATATTTATCTTAAACAGCTTAATAAAAGAAACAAGTCCACTGACTTTCGCATTAGAAAACTGACGTCAGGGGACTTGTCGTCATCATGATGCAGTTCATTTGGATAGCTGCACATCACGCTAGCTGTGGATTTTTTTTATTCTGCCAAATCCTCCATGTATCACAGATTAAGAAAATAAAATTGAAGAACAAAGTACAGATCAGTTGGCGTGTACCAGCAGTGATGAAATCAGGGGTCTTGAATGCAGGAGAATAGAGATTACTCAAACATGCTTGAGTCACGCTAAATACAACTCCAAGAGGGTAAATGAGAAGGGGTAATCCTTTGTAGAACATGGCGATACATAGAGAGTTTAACATGGTTAAACGCTCAAAAAAGTTAATTTTACACAATGGGTCTGCTTTAAAATACAAAATGAGGAAAATGGTCCAAAGCTCTCTGTCTGTAATGTTGCTTTAGTGACACATTTCAACTCAGGTCTTCATCAGTCAAAAACTTTTGTCAATTCCCTGCACAAATATGTAGTTCCCCATGTAACACCACATTGCATCACCAGATTTACTACTATAACATCTGAACCTGTTCCAATCCTCCCTTCTCTTTACTTTCTCTCCTCTGCCCACTTAGTCCCACTTTGTCAAACTCGCAGGCTCTAGTTCAAACACGCCCTCCAAATGACACATGTACCGAGTAATCCTACATGACTACACACTATTTGTACTTTTACACGTACTACATGAAAAATACTGCATTTGACAGGAGCAGAAGAGGCGACTACACTCTGGAGAGCTACAGACTTTAGCGCTGATTTAAGCAGACAGGCTGAGGTGTGGGGCACACGAGGTTACACAGAGGAGGCTTTGAGCTGGGTTAGGATGACATTTCACTGTGAGGAAAATCATATTACTTTAGTTGTAGTGAGAAAGGAGAGGTCTGTAGTTTAAAAGTTTTGTGGCTCTAAACTGTAACATAACCAAACTTGACCTCCATACTTTTACTTTTTCATTTGACTGATTATTTACGACAACAAATACAATTTTCACAAGACGGAATAAGATGTGAGACTGGATCCATGAGAACGTGACAAGATGAGATTTTGACGTAATTTATAATGCATCAATCATTGTGCAATCAATTTTACAATTTTGGCATAATTTATTTTATTCAAATTTTTGCAGTTATTGAGGCAGTGTAATCTTTCATTCACCCAGGAGTGGTTTAATGTAGAGAAGGAAATGATGGAACTGGGTTGGACCACTTGGGGTTGGACTTGTAACCAGAATAGGATAAATTCCCAGTAGTTCAAGCCAGTTCCATCAATTGAAAATGGCTTTGTCTTGATCATAAAAAGTCCAGATGAGCAGTGATGAAACCTTCTCTGCGTTTGCTCTTATTATAGCACCACTTTTTGGAACTCCTCGAAATACGTAACTCACCAAAGCTGAATCCTTTTTTGTTCAAGCCAAATAAGTAAATGTGGGGGGAAAATCTCACAAGTCCATGTTTCTCATGTGTGCAGTTTTGTGGCTGTTTTGTCTTGGGAGATTTTGTGGCATGAGATCTTGTCTCATACTTATTACCTTATATACAGTTATACTGTTTTGTTTTTTTGTTTTGTTTTTTTGTTTTTTTTTTACCAGAAAAGTCCCTTGGAGATTCAAAGATCATTGTTTGCATGAATTCTGGCCAAGTGGAATCAACACCCACAGACAAAACATTTCATATAAAACAGTTATAAACAGACCATATTGAATAAAGTAGTGCATATTTCATAAACATTTATGACTTTCTGGTGGAGAGTTTGCCACTTGCCTATCAAAATGCAGATGTTATTGCTTTGCCTAGGATGTTGAAATGCACTATTTCTATGGAGACAAGCAGGTGACTCCATCAGGCAAAGTTGCAGGTCAGGTTACCCTGCAAAATTTTTGACTAATTGAATAAATGTAAGATGAATCAGTTTAAAGCCATATGGTGTAACATTCCAGGCAAAGCAAATCCAAAAATGACTTTACTACCAATGCACTTAAATGCATTATCAACCAAATAACAGCAATAACAGCTTTTTTTGTTGTTCACTAGTCATGATTTGTCAATTAATCCTTGCTGTCTTTGTGCAAACTTGACTTTTTTTGCTTTAAATAATTTTGTCCTCTCCCTATGAGCACTGAGAAGAAGACAAATTAGGGATTCCAATTTGTTGTGTGTTATGTAAATCTTATACCTCCATCATCAAACCCTGTTGTTGTGCCTTTCAGGGTGCGGTCACTGTAAGAAGATGAAGCCAGAATATGACGAAGCTGCAGAAGTCCTCAACAAAGCGTCTGATGTAAGTTTTGACTTTTAGTTTGGTTTATTTCAAAAACAGCTCTGCTCCTCTCTGGCCTCATTACTGCTCCATAGTAAAACCAACATGAACATGGCCCTAGACACTGTATTTATGAAGATGGGAGCGTGCACTGAAAAGCATGAGATAAACAGAACAGCAGTCGGCTGTTTTGACTGTTTTGTTTTGACTATGTTTATGCAATTCAACTTTTTTGATTGGTTTTAATAATAATTATGATATTGGCTTTCAATTTACTTATTTTGGGATGGCTTAATATTAACGTAAGCTATTTTTTTAAATTTATGTTATGATGTTTCCTCCACAAAAACATACCTAGAGTTGTGTTTTGTTTTATTCCATAGATCTGACCTTCTCACTTATTTATTATACTGTATGGTTTAATGACATACTGTGGAACTTTCCAGACAAAGCAATAACATCTCCATGGAGACAAGTAGATGTGGACCCTCGTATTATATTATGAATTGAAGTTTGCAGTCTGTTTCCGTGCTAAAGTCAGGCCTGTGATGAAGCTGGTGAAAAGATGACTTAAGTGATTATCTCATCTCTAGCCCTCCTCTATCTCCTCCTCTTTCTCTCTTTTCCTGCCTCACTCCTCCTCTCCTCTCTTACTCCTTTGTTCATCTCTCTCCTCCCTCTCCCAATGTCTCCTTCCCTCTCTCTTCCTCTTCTCTCTCACTCCCCTCTTCTCTCCTCTACTCACTCTCTCTCCTCCCATTCTCCCTCTCTGCCTCTCTTCTCTCTCACTCCCCTCTTTATCTATCTCTCCTCTCTCTCTCACTCTCTCCCTCTCTCCTCTCTCTTCCCCTCACTGTCAGTCTCCTCTTCATCTCTCTCCTCCCATTCTCCTTCCCTCCCTCCCTCCCTCCCTCTCTCTTCTCTCCCTCTCCCCTCTCTCACTCCCCTTTTCATTTCTCTCCTCTCTCTTCCTTTGCTTTCTTTCCTTCTCACTCTCACTCCCCACTTCATCTCTGTCTCCTCTTTCCATCACCTCTCTCCTTCTCTCTCTCATTCCCCATTTCATCTCTCTCTCTCTCTCTCTCGTTTATTCCCCTCTTCACTCCTCTCTCCCTCTCCAACTTCCCTCTGTTTGTCTCTTTTTCTCTTTCCATCCCTCTTGTTTCATTCAAACACACACATTTGGATGTCCTCCTCGTGGCTCGGAGCCCGACTGCAGAGGTCAATGGAAAAGGGCAAAATTATCGAATGCAGATGGACTGATGTTATCTCACCTCCTGAACTTCACAAATGTGTTATTTCACATCTACAACTCTCTGTTCTAAGTGCACAGGCAGAGGGGTTTGCCTTTTACACAGGAAGTTGGCAGTTCAAATTTGAATCCAGCTCTACTAGTAGCCAGTTAACCCTGTTGCTGTGTCCTTGAGCAAGGCGGTTCGTGTCACTCAGTTCAGGGACAGATGTGGCAGTAGTTGAATAATGAATAAAAACCTACTCTTGTACTTGGAGCAGATTTAACCAAAAGTTGGGCTTAAACTAATCCAAAAATACATACTTGCTTAAGGTGCTGTTGTACCCATAGAAATCTATATAACTTTAAAACCTGAAAAGCAGAATTTGATCATTTTAAGTTGTTTGCAGTGGTCCGAAGTTATTCCTCACTTTCCCAATGCATAATCCTAGCATCCCAATGATGTGTTTGGCCCTCACAGTAATGACCCCAACCCTTTCCTGGATGAGTCCCCCTTTGTCTGGCTGTACAGAATTGAACTTTATCTGCAAATGCACTTTATTCCTGGACACATCTGCAGCCTCCCCCGTGCATGAGCGTGAATCTCCCCTTCATTGTGGTTCTTCTCAAGAATTCTCTTTTTCTACAGACAGGGGATGTTCTGGGACAGTTATCCACTTATTTGTTTCCTGTGAATTAATCTGCCTGAGTGTTATCAACCAATGTCTGTTTCAGCGTTGTATTTTCTAACTCTCTGTTGGTTAAATCAAGGAGCCTGTTCATTTTGGCTTTACAAAAATAAATTGAACTGAGTAATGCCAAAAACAAATACCATGCTAACAGCGTGGCCTTACTTCCTGGTTTGCGGATGATTAACAAAAAGCTTTATAATTAGATGCGGTTGTCTCATTTTGGCCTATTTACAATAAATCTGTACTGAGGCAAAGTAAATTATACTTATACATAAATGTGCATTATATAACTTTTCTGGTTGAGGGTCCATCACCTATTTGTTTCTATGGATATGTCATTTTTCTGCCTGGAATGTTCCACAGCTCTACATTACATTTATTAAATTTCAGGTTTGTTTTAAAGCTCAAAAATACATAGAAAAACAGGGAGTCTGACTGTGAGCAGGGTTACCTCTCCACAGATCTGACTTGTAACTTGGTCTGGTTTGGTCTTCATGAAAATAGAAAGTTTTAATACCATGCTATGAAACATCCCAGACAAAGTAATAAAGCGTTTCACAGAACCTCCACCAGAAATGTTACACAAAGAAGTTAGTCCTTTGTTTCTCTCCTAAAACTAAACTTCTAGAAGAGCATATTAAGGTCATCACTGTTAAATTTGTTTTTGTTTTTCCTCGGGTATGTCTAATGTCTCTCTACTGCCCCCTACAGAGTCCCGGCGTGTTGGCTGCTCTTGATGCCACGGTGCATAAAGCAGTCGGTGACCGCTTTAAGATCTCAGGGTTCCCCACAGTTAAGTACTTTGTGAACGGAGAAGAAAAATATACTCTGCCCCATCTGAGGAACAAGGACAAGATCATTGAGTTTATGCACAAGTAAGTTGGAGATAAGCTTATTTCAGTGTGTACATTTTCACTGCTTCCTCCCATAGTCTAATTTTCACTGCCATATTCAAAATTGGTATAACAAATTACACTTTATGTTTGTCATGTTTTCATTTAATTTGTAAATTTTAATCTGTAATCAGTACTTTTTTGTTTAGTAGAGGCAATAAATGACATCTATACACCAAAATATCATATTAGATAAAATGATTCAAATATGGATTGTTTGTCCTAGGGATGAACTGATACTGGTATTGAATATTGGTACTGATACTGAAAATTTTGATGGAACAGATATCGGCTGACAAATATCGATTCAGCCAATATTCTGGTTGGACATATCAAGACTATTTATTGATCATAGTCGCTCAGAAATTCTCGTCTTTTATCTACACAAAGCTGTTCTGTAGCGACTTAAGAGATAAATACCAGCTACATAACACATTTGGATCAGTTTTGTCTTATTTTATTGTAATTTTAAGGAAATAAAATGCTATTTTTAGTCCCTGCACTGGTATTGGGTGTCAGCATACACTTAAAGACATAGTATCTGAATTGGTATCAGAACTGAAAAAGCTCGATTGGTGCATCCCTAATTTGTGCCACTATACCCTTCGTCAAAACCTGGGGGAAACGGCATTGTATAATAACAAAAATTAGATAGCTTGAATCATTACATAATCATACAGAACCACAGTCAAAGCCATTTATTGTGCACTATAGTTTTTGTAATCTTACAGCTCTTACTGTACTTGCACGGTGTTATAATAGATTTTATGTCTATTGTGAACTCTTTTAATTGTTATTAGAAATATTGATTGCGTATTCTTCTCCTGCTGTTGTTGAAGTTTGAACACTGTAATTACCCCATTGTGGGACAAATAAACCTGACTTTTGGTGCGTGTTTACTTGCACAAAAGAAATCTCACCCTCAAATATACCTGAGACATGCGGTGATCAATTATTATTTTTTAATTAACTTTTGTATTTGGAAGAGCACAATTAATTTTAAAATAATTTTCTTTTTTGTTTTTGTCACATTAGTTTGCCCTTTTTTGCGATTACATGAAAAATTGACATCAATTTTTAAGTGGATGACAGGTAGTTTAGCTGGCTGTTGGGTGCAGCTAATTGGGATCCTAAGGGAGACGAAATGTCTTGCCCAAGGCCACACTGACACTATCAAACCAGCAGTTTGAGGAGTTGGTGAGCAGAACTTTTCCAAATGACCCACTGCCCACTTACTTTAAATTGCACTATTGATTGTCTTATTAGTTTGGACTTTTGAAATTAGTTTAGCTCAAACCTATCATAAACATTTGTCTCTGTCCAATATCCATCAAGAGCCAGACCAAAACACCATCAGCTTGTATCATTATGAAATATAAAAACAAATGTTGTAATAATTAAATTCCTCTGTCTATACTTGTTGTCTCCAGTCCCCAGGCTCCTCCCCCTCCAGAACAGTCCTGGGAGGAGAAGCCGTCCAGCGTCAGCCATCTTGGATCCGAGGACTTCAGAGAGGCGCTGAAGAAGAAGAAACACGCTTTAGTCATGTTCTACGCTCCATGTAAGTTTTAGTTCAGCATGGCACCTGTTATTCAAATAATTTATTTGTTGCAATGCACAGTACATAAACAGCAGGAGAATAGAAGTAGGCACTGAAATAAACAAGATAAATAACTATTAGAGTTTAAAGTTAGAGTTACTTAATTTTTTTAATGTATGAAGGCACAACATATAGTCCCCATACTTTCAGAACTTGTACAGTTAACAAAGAAATAGAGAATAGACTTAAATTTAACAAAACACTGTAAATACAATAACAATACAAGGCTGCAACAGTATTGTGTACAATGAATGACTATGACTGTGGTTATGTACTGTGTAGCATATGGACAGAACACATATCTGTATTGCACATTATTACTACAGGTAAAATAAACAGAATATGAATGAAAGTATTCGAGATTGGAATAGAAACAGTGCCAAATAGGAATTGCAAACCTTTAAAGAGACTTATTTTGCAAAATCAACTTTTCAGAGCTTATATCCATGCTATAGGTGTTTCCCCTTATAGTAGTAGTATTAGTTTTATTCAGTCATTTTGCAGCACTATAAAACAAAACAAAACATAGACTACAACCCCATGGATCATGACCGAAAGGGTTTAAGCTGAAGTAAAAATTACTTATAATGCCAAACCCTTTTAAACAATGACAGAATTCTAAGAAAGAAAGGCATCGTATGAACAAAAAGTTTGCATTTACAATTTCAGTTACGACTTACTCTATATGTAAGAGACAAAATATTAATTAAAACACAATTTAATGCATAATTCATTCATTCCAGAGCTCTATATCTTTCAAAACATAATGCTGTATAGTCTTTTTTTTTTTTTTTTTTTAAAGACTTCTACAGTGTTAGACTTTTTTCTTCTACAATGTTACTTTTTTTTTTTTACTACTGTTATACTAACCCCTCTAACAGAAATACAATTCAATTAAATTTATTTTTTTTCTTATCTTCATTTTTTCATTCTTCGTTTTTTAAAGTTGCCAGTTTTGTTTTCGCTTATGGTCATACAAACTCATTTAAATAATAAAAACAATTTCTGTAAGATTTGATTTTTATATTGTTTTTTGAACTGCACCAAATTAGTACAAGCTTTGATATGGTCATCTAAGCTGTTCCATAAGTCTACTCCACATCTGCTAACACACATGCTTTTGAAAGTGGTCCAAGAGAATTGTTTTTTAAAATTTATTTGACCTCTCAGTTTGTATTTGAATTCATTTCTGCAAAATGAGCTAATTGATCACAGTTGCATTTGGAGTGATTCATGCATGTTTGAGAAATCTTTAATCACTTATTTTCAAGAAACCATTTAGTCATTTTCATCGCAGCTGGGATATGCCCACTCCTCTGTACTTACTTCATTATCCAATTTAATTTTCTTAATCGGTCGTAAACACAGGATTCAGCAGCGTCACATAGTCATTTTGCTACAAATGGGAAAAAAATCTGCTACTCACTAGTTTGACCTGCAGCTATCCATTGAAGGTGCAGACAACGTCATGGCTCTTTGTTGAGACATTTACTGTGACGTCTGCTCCCATTCTGCACAGAAGTTTTCTAATGCAGAACTCACTTTACTGTATTTGCTTTATGTAAGGCATTACACGAATACTGCAGCACTTCAAGTTACTCTCAACAAAATAACTGTCGCTGACTCTCAAATAAAAATCAGCGAGCGAAGCCGAACTTTTGCGCTGTATATGGACTGAATCAGGACTAAATCCAGCCTGAACCGAGGACTGGACGAGGACGAAACCAGGACTAAACCAGGACTAAACCAGGACTAAACCAGTACAAACCAGGACTAAACCAGGATAAACCTGGACTAAACCTGACTAAACCTGGACTAACCTGGACTAAACCTGGACTAAACCTGGACTAAACCTGGACTAAACCTGGACTAAACCAGGGTGTCCGTAAAGTGCCATCAAGCATCGGCTGCTCTGCACCAGTCCTTTCGCTCGCAGTTACCCAACAGTCTACGTGGGTGCGTCTCCGGGCCCGTCCTGACATTCAGAACCGTAACAATAGTGTTTCACCACTGCTGATATCGCTGTGATTTTAGCGAATTTCTATGAAGAAAAATGAAAAACCTACCACTTCAGTCCAGGTCAATAAAGCATTGTAATGCGTATTACTAACATTTGTAATGAGTAAAATATTACAATTTTTTTTCCCTGTAATGCATTACATTACTGCGTTAGAGCAAAAAGCAATGCATTACAGTAATTTGTTACTTTAATAACACGTTACTCCCGACACTGATGATAACATGATGATCTTGGGTGTCGTAGATTATAACTCAATAGAAGACGCAAGAACAATGTGTCTTCTTTAAACAACCGGTGTCATCTTAGCACAGCTCTTGTGTGGTGTCCTTGGTCTGCAGTGGTCAGTATCGAAAGTCCTTCAAATTAGAAACCGTGAAGAATCAGCAACAGGTGATTCTCAAACATTAACAGGCAGTCATTACATTTTGGCTAATAAGCGTACGTTAGATTTCCCTATAGTTTTGAATAAGTGTCTATGAAAAACAACAGCCCTCTTTTGGATTTGCTCCCCTCCTGGACCTGGACCAGAGTTCATATGTAACTCAGACCTCCTGCCAAACTGTGAGAGCAGAGGACTCCACCTAGACCTTTGGGGAAGCTCAAATGATTCACTCTTCTCAGAATAGAGCTGTCCAGAAGAAATAAACTACACATTTTTTACATTACACTGACAGACAACTACTTAAGCATAATCAGAAATATTCAATTTATTTCACTATGAAAAATTAAAAATTAAAAAATGCTTTGTGTAATATTTTCCGTGATGGTAATTTACTAAGAAGAAATTACTACACAACCTTGAAAGTACAATTGCTTTTGACCAGGTTGGACAAATAATCTGACAAGCTTTAAAATGGCAAGAAGGCGTCAGTAAATGCACTGTACCAGATTTTTACGTGAAAAACAGATCTAGTTCATTTTTAATAGTTTGCAGTGGTCCAAACATATTCCTCACTTACTTTATACACTCAGAGCATCCCCCCAATGACTTTATGAGCGTGTTTCGCAACTTTTAGAGGCCAGACCGGAGTTTTCCCCTCGCTGCATGCTAACAGAGCACTTCCTGGACAAGAAAATACTTGATTAGATGCAGATAGTTCACAGTTGATTTATTTTATATAGGCCTTTTATTTAAATGTTGGAAAAAAATTCTCATCTATACTAGAAAAAATATATATATCATAGCTCATGATGTTGTTTTGTTTTGATATTTTCAAGCCTAAAGTAAAGAAATCTTTTGAGTTTTGAATAACTGAAATTGCTTTGTTTTTTTGACGACTTGATGGTTGCATCCATTGGGTATTTCATAGTCACTTTTCCTGCATAAGCAAAAGCCAATTACCATGCACAAAACAGCATTAATAGTTGAAAATGTGTTAAATGAATAATATAATAATCATAAATAAATAAAAGGGTTTATCTGAAAGGTAAGATTGTCGGACAGGTTGAGACAAAGGAGGGAGCAGTGTCCTTGTGTAATTATGCATTAGCAGATCAGCACTGCTCTGTCTGATGAGGCTTCAAACAAAGTCGAGACCAGACCCGACAAACTAGACCAAGACGTGGATAGACCTGGTCCCCATATGCCCTCTCCTCCCTCTTCTCTCTCTTTAGTAAGACTTCACACAAGATTTATGATAAGGTTGAAAAGGTGTTTTTTTGTTCACTGTACATTGTGCAGTGGGTTGCACAATCAGACCAAAGGTTATCTGAGACAATATCAGGCTCTAGCTTTCATGTAGAGAGGGAAAAAAAGTGAATATTAACAGTTTGAAAGCTCAAGGCTAATCAGCTATGTGGTAATTAATGACCACAAGACCTTTTATTTCAAATCAGTTGCTGAATTTTTATAAACTGCACAGTTAGTAAAGCATTTCACTAAATCGTGCATTTTAGATTAGTTACCACATAGCTCATTTGTTTCTGCAATGCTTTTGATCTCTTAATATGAAAATTTTCGAAAAGTTTATGGCAGATTAATGGGAAATGTTCTTCCAGAACCAGAGCAGGCGGTCACGGCTGAGCTCCATTACAAGAGTTCACTAAGGGTTCAAGGCTATCACTAAATGCTAGTGGTATTTTTGAATTTGTGAAAGTTAGTAAATGAAATGGGAAAGAGTTGAGATGGTCCCATTCATGGAGGATTTTCCCCACGTTAGAAATCTTTCACCACCAAAATTGTCGACACCAAATGCATGAAATTGTGAAGTTTAGTCCTGCCAAGTTCTAGTTCAGACTTATTTTTTGTCCTGCTAAAATCTTTGTTTACACATTAAGATTAGAGCAGAGCAGCACACTTTGCCTTGCTTTTTCCATTTAATTTTACTTTTTACCATTCAAACTATACAATATTTTGCTCAGAATCGTTAATTGCTATGACAACAGTGCTTACATCTAAAACCCCACGGACACGCAACATTTTCAAACAAATCATTTTTCCTTTCTCTCATAAATTACTATTGAAAACAGTGCACAATGAGCAGTATTAGCACTGGCTTGTTGCAGGCAGCCTCTTTGTATGTTGACACTCCAGTTTCTCTGAGTGCTCGCATGAAAAGGCCAGTGCATATAAAAGCACAGCTAAAACCTCCCTTATCCTCTGTCTCTAAGCTGCAGAGGAGCGAGAGGAGACGGGGGAAAGGGGGGATGAGAGATATGGAAGAGAGGGGAGAGGGAGAGATGAGAGAGAGAATGGAAAGAGAGGGGGAAAGGGATGAGAGAGAGGAGAGGGGAGAGATAAGAGAGTGTGGGGACAGGGGGTGAGAAATATGGTACAGAGGGTGAAAAGGGAGAGAGAGAGGGGACAGAAAGGAAGAGAGATCGGAGAGGAAGAAGAGAGCGGCGAGAGAGTAGAGGAAAGAGGTTGGAGAGAGGTGAAATGGGATAGAAAGGGGGAGAGGCGAGTGACAGAGAGGGGGAGACGGAGAGGTGGAAGACATTGAAGAGAGGGTAAAGAGAGATTGGAGATGGGGTAGACAGTGGGAAGAAGAGAGTCAGAGATGGCAGAGAGGAGAGAGGCAGAGCATATTAGCAGCTTTTAAACAGCACAAATGCCAGGCTGTGATGGCTGTGAGGGAAAAGCGCTAATATTCCTGTACTTATCTACCCCGGTGACATTTGTGCTGTAGACGCGCTGGTTTTTTAAAAGAGAAAACACACATTCACTGTTGTTCAAAGCGCGGATTGCTAAAAACCTTTAAAGGGCATTTAGTAGTGTTCAAACGGCAGGAGCAGAATGGTGTAGGGAGAGAGGAAGATCAATTTCAAATACTAACAATGGAAGTAAATATATTTCTAAACTGGAATTTAAAAAAAATATATAATATTCACAATACTATATGAGTTTGAATGCGTAAAAATTAGCACTGATGGAAAATCAACTAACAATTTAAACAATTATATCTTTTGAATGGTCCATGAAATGTCACTTGCAACAGAAAGATGGAGATAGAGCGATATTGGGTGTTTATTTTTTATTTTTTTCTCAATACCAGTGATTTAGAATCCAAAACAACCAATGCTGATAAGCTCAACCAGTGTTTTTTGGCCAATTTGTAAAGCCAATTTTGATTAATTCCCCAAAATGTAAAATTTTAGAGGCCCTGTATCACACAAATTGACTCCTGCGTTTTTAGTCATGTTATAATGTTGTTACCTCATCAAAAACATACCCAGAATTGTGTTTGAGTGATCCTGGTTTATTAGTTTGTCTACTAATCCAATGCTCTGTTCCACCTTGTGATGTCATGTAGTGGTTATTATTCAAGTTAACAGCCACCTTTTACCTTTTGTTTAGTAGGGATTGGCAATTCCTAGGCTGAAGTTATCTATTCTAGTCAAGGTGTATGGAACCTAGTAGAGGGCAGTAAACTTTATTCTTTTTAGGTGGTTTTGTCTTGGTTTATTCACAAGTTTATGTAATAATAACCAGTCCCCAGTGCATATAGCCTCTTTAGTATGAAGTTCTGGTCTAATCTTTTTTGTGTTTGCAGGGTGTCCTCACTGTAAAAATGCAGTTCCCCACTTCACCACTGCAGCGGAGCTCTTCAAAGAGGACCGCAAGGTTAGTGTCTCATCTCTATTCAGCCTCTTCAGTCTGCTGCAGGGCCCTCAGAGCTCATCTGAATCCTTTAGACACCCGCTCTGGGCAAAAACTATAGAAGACTTAAATACAGAAGAGAATAATGATGCAGTGTGCATTTCGTAATATGTTAATATACATACCATACATATATACACATACACTAGGAAATTCCATAAGAGTTCCCACACATCTAAGATAATTGGAAAGGGCACAGAGCTTCTTCTGAAAGTAAATAGATTTTTTTTGCTATATCCACTAAATTAATAATCATGAACACAATTTTTGCTGTCATGTCAGCCACTGCAATTTTACTAAATACAGTATAAATAACTAAATAAGTATTTTGTTCATACTTTATATAAGCCAGAGTAACTAGATGTTAATGAAACAAAACAAATGTTGACAATTACATTTAAAGGAACTGTATGTAGATTGTCCTTTTACTAGTAAAGCTATTGCAATCACAACTGAGCCTTGGTTGTCAGTGCATTAACCTGAAGTACACCCCAAAATTTTTATATTATTGGGTAAAAATCCAGTGATTTTCAATTAAGTATAAATCAGCATTAAGATTCTTGTCAGTAAAAGTCTTATTTGAAAATATTTTCCTCATATCTAGGGACATAAAATTGTACATGCAGATCCTTTAAATGCAAATGATTGAAAATTGAAAATACATCTTGATTCTATATGATGAGGTAAAAACCCAACATGGGAGTACCATATACAGCCTTGTCTACCGCATGTCCTTTCCTCCAGTAATTCATCATTATTAAAGTGCACTATAATGTATGTGAAAAACCCTCCACTCTAAACCTGCAGAAGGAAAAGTGAATGTCAAATGCCTACACACAGAGCCGTAATTATAGGCTCTTACATACAGGTACTTAGAATGTGCTTTTAGACATGAATGCAATGTAAAAAGTATATACAACCATGACATTTGCATCATTCTATATCACTTTAAAATACTGCTTTTACTTACAAACAAAAGTAGGACTTGTAAAAAGACCCAGGTTCTACTTTTAGACCAAATTAGGGGCTTTCTCTCTTTCAGGTTCCCGTTCAGGTTGAGCACTTTTGCGTAAATATCTTGTAGTATAGAGTATTCCAACAAAATATTAGATTTAAGTTTTAAAATCAAGATTCAGTTTATTGTTAATTAATAGTGAAATTGCACATCACATCAGGTTTGTGAAGTTGTAGTGTATTGTTTTTTGTACACGTATGTAAAATTTTTGTGCTCGAGCATGGGTAACATTGGGTTCTGGGCTGAGTCTTGGACAGTTTTGTACTGCTAAATAAAGGGAGGGTTTGAATAGGCCCTGGGAGAGATCGATTATTACTCAAACATGCATGGATGACATATAAAACCACGTCAGGCATGTTTTTGATATTATATGTTATAACATGGTGGAAAACTAAAAAGAAAATGTGTGTGTGTGTGTATATATATGTATGTATATATATATATATATATATATATATATATGTATATATATATATATATATATATATATATATATATATATATATATATATATATATATATAATATATATATATATATATATATATATATATATATATATATATATATTATATATATATATATATATATATATATATATAATTATTATATTTGACTGAAGACTGAAAATATGACCTGCTAAACTAATACAAGAATCGTGCTTGTAGAGGTCTAAACTACAGGGTTAGCAGTTTTTTATACAGAACAAAATTCAACATCAGATATTCTAGTAATGGTTTGCTCATTGTAACCATTCAAATAATGTAAATGTAAATGTAAATTGTATTACATAGAAGTATGGGTCAAATGTAGAGGATATATTTCCCTATGTAACCTTATACTTATCAAGAAAGCATTGATTTACTGGTTCCATCATCTCCAAGCCAGGTAATTGCACTCCTTATATGCTTCCATAAACATATATCTTATTTAAAGTGGATGACTAGCCTTAATAAGTTAACATTAATCTTACTTAAATGTCCTTAACAGTTGTAATCTAAACTCTAGGGCGACTCCACCTCTTTTAATTGTTTGTCTTTCCTCTTTGGGATATGGCCACTTAGCTCTGCTCCATAAATCTCTTTAAATCCAAGGCTTAAACTTGTATTAAAGGTTATTGGAGGGTCATAATGTTGCACCAGGACAGTTAAGAGGAGTCAGTCTCTTTGCCCAATCCTAGACCCCCTTTTCTATGTAAACAAACCGTAATTCTACCCCCCCTTCCCAAATCTAATAAGGTTTGGATGAAAAAACATTAGTTAAATAAAGCTACACTGTTACTTTTCTGGCTGGGGTTCTGCTTCTCTTTGTCACCATGGAGTTGAGTTTCACTATATGGCATTAAAAGGTGCACTTTGTAATTGTCCACCTGTTTGTTTACATGGAGATGTCATTGCGTATCGCTTTGAATGTCCCACTGTATGGCATTAACCTTAACCGAGCATTCATTCACACAGGTGTTGGTTAAAAACATATCTTGAACATTAATGAACAGGGCATCCACAGATCTGACTTGTAACTGGGTTAATGACACCACCTACTTGTCTCACAATAGAAAAATAAGTTTAATTTCATACTGAGGAACATTCCAGTTAAGCAATTTGCCCATAGGGATAAGCCAGTGGCCAACTCTCCTCCAGAAAAGTTACATAGTGTACCTTTAGATCTCATTTATTCAGTTATTTTTAGTGCTATAAAATACATTGGAGAAAATTGTCTGAGGAGGAAACGTTAATGCTATTGTGTGGAACTTTTACGCCAATACAGTAACTTCTCATCTCCATGGAGATATGTAACTGGCGGGTCCACGATGTTGTTGCTTTGCCTGGAAAAAAAACAAACATAGAAAACATGTATTATTACTGATTGTGATAAGTGATAGAGAAGTGTAATTTCATAACAGACCATTTCAGTCAAAGCAGTAACATCTCCATGGAGACGAGCAGGTGGCAGATACTCCACTAAAACAGAACAAGCATATTTCACACTTTAAGCTTTGTTATCTTTTACGTCATGGAGCTGAGGAGACGCATCTTATGGTAAATTAGCAGAAAATTCATCAAATTCCTTAGTGTTTTTGTTACAGTGGATTGCCTCAGAAAAATGGAAGAAGCTCTGTCGCCACATCTGACAGTGATTTTCGAGAAATACCAAACAAGTGATGAGGAGCCTGTAGACCACAATCTGGGAATAAACATGACAATTCAGGAACATTTTGAATTTTAAAAAGCTAAATTTCTAATGGGATTATATAATGGGAAGAACTGGAAATGGTTCACCAATTTTCCACCATCTGCAATGACGTTGCCAGTAAAGAATCATGCAATCAAATCTGATAAACTGATTTCAGGAATTACAAAAAGTGTAAAGTTCTATTGGGCAAATAAAACGTACATATGATAAATATTGATACACTGCACTGGTAAGAAAAGTTGAGTCCCTGGTGATCTTCTACATGCATCTCTAATGGTGGAATGTTCAGGAGTTACCATGGTGACACAATGCAATTTAGCAAACACTTTAAAAAACTAAACTGGCTTTAAACTGCACATTTTCACACATTACAAGTCTAATAATGCTTCAAACAAAGCAGTGCCTACAGTTAGCATAGCAAGGAATGTTGAAGACTAGGGATGGGCATGATTACTCGATAATTGATCATTAAGAATTTCATCGATTACGTTAATTTTAATCGACAAACCGAATGTAGGTTGCTGTGCGTAGTGTGACCAAACTGGGGTCTGTACATGTGTCTCTCTGCACTCAGAAGGAGCGAGCAAACACAAACAGTAGGTCAGTCCTGCAGCGTACCGAAGCACAAATGTGTATTTAACGATGACTTGTACAAGAAATTCCACGCTTTCTGTTGCGTTCGGGACAAGTGTGAGTCCTTGTGCACAGTGTACAAAGCAGCACATATGTTTCGGTGTCCAGTGGGAAAAAGCTTTACCAGGTGAGAGTCGCGCAATGTCGATGACGAGTCCCAACCTCCCACCCCCCGTACAGTGTCCTGGTTTTGACAAACGCAAATATGGTCACACTAACCTGTATTCCACTGAGTCATGTCTTTTAATCCGACAGAAATTGACCGCATCAGCGACACAAGAGCTGTAGTTTTATCTTCGCTGAGTTTATGCAAATTAGCGATGCGGTTTTAAGTTTCGTTTCTGTGAGAGTTGCACAAAAATGAATTAAACACGTTATAATGTCAAACGGGCTGATGTGGCTCTAGAGTCGTTACGGTTTATATGTCGTAAAGTTGAATTTATTTATGCAGATTAGTAGTGCAGATAGTAATAATAATGATGATCATTTTAATATAAAAACATTAATGATTAATCGATAATCGATCATTAATTCTATCCCTATTGAAGACTGATGCTGCAAAGAATCAATTCATTAGCTCAAATAAAGGGATTCAAATTGATAATACTTTAAGGTTTAAAATTACTATGTACAGAGTAGTTTTTTATATTTTATATTGTCACATTACCTGAACAGCAGAGGCAGCCAGGCTGGTGCCACCTAGTGCCTCCACTCAATTTCATTTCTCTCCAGCAACTAGGTCAGGAATCAGAGTACACTAGACGATTCGCAAAAACCCCAGAAGTGCAAGTTCCAGTACCAGCGAATCAGCGAAGAGCCATACATTCAGTGTTATCAACGATTCCCGAGATCAAGGATTTAAAGCTGGAATAAAGAGAATGTTTGTTGAATTTCATCAAGGGGAAAGACATTATTGCCCTTCTTTCTACGAGATTTGGGAGAAACTTAATATACAAGTTAGCCCCATTAGTGGTGCATTACATACGTGACGACCAAATAGCAGCGATTGGTTAAATGATAAAAAGTACACACCTACCATTGAGCGAACAAATTGTAACACTGCGAGGTCAGACGGTTTCTATGAAGTTAAGCCGTCTGATGAATCAGGCAGCAGAGGTGGGTAGTTGCCAAAATTAGTTCTTGAGTCAGAGTAACGTTACTTCAGAATAATATTGAAGTAAGTAAAATGAAGTGATCTAAGAAATTACTCAAAAGTTTTAAAAAAGTATTTGGGAGCTACTCCTCAAGTAAGAGCAACTTAAAGAAACACTGTTGGTTGTAGTGCAATATTGAGAGCCTAAACCCAAACCTTAAAATACTGTTACATTTTCAGTACATAAATTACTTCAAAATTAGATAGGAGTAAAAATATGCTCCTAGGAAAGTATACTGAAAAGTACAAGTTCTATAAAGTTAACGGGTAAAAGTAACTTGAGTGCTACCAACCTCTGCGTGATCAGTGACGAGCCCTCTCCACAAGTCTGTACTACATGGGGTTTCTCTCCTCTTAGCAGGAGCAGCAGTCCATCTTCAGCTCTTTATCTGTTTACTCCTGTCCCGATACAAAGTACCGGTGTGTGTTCTGAGTCTATTAGCCGCCTCTGCCTCGTTTAGCAAAGACAAACACCAGCTCAATCCAGTCAGCAGTCTGAATTCAGAGCTCTACACGGAGAAGCCAATAGCCAATGCAATCCTGTGTTGTTACTTCAGATAACAACACAAAAGTAAAAGCCATGGAGCCATAAAACTGATGCTTAATTAGTCCATGTTTATCTGTTGATGCTATGGGGTCAATAGACAGTCCCACTTACTTCACAGTTCGCTCGGGTAAATTTTCCATGCATTTTTTTCCCACACTTAAAAAAAAAACTCAAATATTAAGAGGTTAAAGGCAAGATGGAGGCTAACCAGCTATGCCGTAACTAATAACCTTAACATGGTAATTTGAAGTCCAGAAATATTCAGGAAAGTTTATAAAGTTTTGAAACAGATTTTAAATAAAAAAATGTAGGTAAAATCCAGAATATCTCTCTGTATTTTTTTATACAGATTGGTAGCACTCTCTCCCTCTCAATCCCGCTCAGATGTGATCTTGTAATCAGATTTGTTTGGAGTTTTTTTAGTGACACATGTGAAATAAAGGAGCTCATTGGTCACCTATGAGTTACAAATAAATAGTTATAATTAATTAGTTATCACAGAGCTGACTTGTAGACGGTCAAAACAACAAAGGGTTTCCTGGGTGATGGGGTTTTGTCTGCTGAGTTTTGCTTATGTTATAGGGCCCATATTACACTATTTTCTGATCTATGTTATAATGTTTTCTCATCAAATGCATAATTGGAGTTGCATTTTGTTTCATTCACACGTTTAACACACAGATCATAAATCATTAGGTTGACTTCTTCTCTGAAAACGCTCTGTTCCACCTTCACTAGAATCATTTGGATAATGTCACCCCTGGAATTGCCCATCTCTTCTGAACTAAAGGTAAAAGGAGCTGTTAACTTAAAGTACTCCTTCATGATGTCACAAGGTGGAACAGAGCATTTTGAGCTTTGGTGATGTGGACAGACTAATAATAAAGTATTACTCAAACATGTGAGAATGAAACAAAATGCAACTGCAGGTATTTTTTTGAGGAGGTAACAACATTATAACATGGCAAAAAAATTAACTGGAGTCAATTTTGCATAATATGGGACCTATCCTGACTGGTCTGGGTCTCTGACAGAAATAACATTAATTTCCGCAGATGTGACAAATCTTTTCTTCACGTAACATCACAACATAAATTTCCATCACATGTCAAAAGAATCACATTATTAAAACACAAAAATCAAATATAAATTAGGCTGAAATTAGATTAAAAATACAAATTGTCCAGCCGTTGTCTAAGGATTTGTTGTAGTTCATGTGTCAGGTTCTTAACAAAGAGTCCACTGACATTTTGTTAATCCGGACGTGACTAAGGAGGTGTATTTAGACAGAGGAAGTGCGCTGAGGGCTCTAAGTGCTGTTATGATGTTACAAAACTGTTTCCCACACAAGATTACAACGTATTGGCTTGTGTAAGAGGGAAAATCCAAATCACACTTTGAACAGACTTTTGGAAAATTGCTTCTTAATTATCATCCAATTATCACCAACATAGCAAAGAAATTAACATTTGATTATCTATTAAAAACAGTGAACAAAAAGAACAAAATTTATACAACTTTAGACTTCTCATGCATTTCTTATTGGTGTTACATTTTGTCGACCTAAACTAGAAATAATTATTTGAGTATATCTTTAATGCGACTGAAAGCTATTTTAATCAAAAGTGTAAGGCTAACAAAATTTAAAGGTGCACTATGTAACTTTTTAGATTTGCCAGGAATGTTCCACAGGATAGCATTAAATATAGCATTACTATTTTCAAGTTATATAATTACAGATGTATTTATTCATCAAAAATACCTACATTCTTACTGACCTGATCTGTAAATTGACCTGATGTCACCTCACCTGCTTGTTTCCATGGAGATAGATATTTTCTGATTCATGTTATAATGCTGTAGCTTGATTCATCAGCCAGTTTCACTTTGTAGAAACTGTCTGACCTTGCAGTGTTAGAATTCATTCCCTTTTTATCATTTAACCAATCGCTGCTATTTGGTCGTAACGTATGTGATGTGCTGCTAATGGAGCTAACTGGTATATTAAGCTTTACCTAAATCCCGTAGGAAGAAGGGCAATAATGTCTTTCCCCTTGATGAAATTCAACAAACATTATCTTTATACTGGCTTTAAATCCTCGATCAGGAATCTTTGACAATATATGGCTCTTTGCTGATTGGCTGGTGCCCAAACTCTCACTTTTCTGGGGTTTTTGCGAACCGTCTGTTGTATTCTGATTCGTGACCTAGTCGCTGGAAAGAAATGAAATTGAGCGGAGGCACTAGGTGGCGTCAGCCTGGCTAATAATATTGTTTCCTCATTACCAACATACCCAGAGTTGTGTTTTGTTTAATTTATACATGTTTAACATACAAATCCTGACTATTTATGTTTGTCATGTGGTAATACAGGAAGTAGTCCACCGTGTTTTTAAACTCCATATATCTTTTCTAGAATAATTTGGATAATTTCAGCCCTGGAAATACCTATGTCTTAACAGAACGTAGCTGTTAACTTAAACTACAGGTTCATGATGTCACAAGGTAGAACAGAGCATTTTGGGCTTTGGAGATGTAGACAGACTAATAATAAAGGATTATTCAAACATCTGTCAATGAAACAAAACACAAATCCAGGTATGTTTTGATGAGATAACAACAAGAGTCAATTTTGCGTAATATACGACCTTTAAATGCTACATCATATTTGTGTTTTTATTTCTCATTGATTGGTGCTCATATATTACCTTACTTTATCTGTTGCAAATGCTGAGTTCACAGTGATGTAACCGCTGGCTGTAAGTGCTGTTTTGATTAACACCGGGCAGCATCATATCCTCTCAGTGTGTTTTGTGCCTGATCGATCCACAAATCCAATGAAGTTTATTTGTCCAGAAAATACAAGGCCAATAAAAGGTCCCATTTAAAAAAAAACAGGTGTGAATTAAAACCCCTGCCTCATAACCAGAACAGAATGTAACAGAGATGAAATAAACCAGGTCTAGAGGCATTCACATAAACTGGAGACTTATCAGGGGCTCACATGCACTGCAATAGAAAATGAATGGTGTTTGTTTTACATGAGTTACTATGGTGTATACTTTATGGGCTGTGGAAACTAGTAGTAACTCTGAGCAGTGGCAAGCTGCTTTGGGGCTGATGTGTAATAGGGCATGGACAATAGTTTTTCCCGTAGACTGCCCAAACCAAATATAAAGTGTTTAAAGTGCCCATATTACGCTATTTTCTGATTGGTTATAATGCTGTTTCCTCATCAAAAACATTCCCAGAGTTGTGTTTTGTTTCTTCACGCATGTTTAGCACACAAATCCTGCATATTTAGACTGAGTTCTTCTCTCAAACTGAAAACTCTCTGTTCCATCTTGTCATGTGGGAATATAGAAAGGGTGATTTGGGTGATTTCCAAATAGTCTTAAAGCTCAAAAGAATTGATTTTGTGTAATATAAGACCTTTAAATATTATTATTATTATTAAAGTATGTATATAATATTGTGATTCATAAAGTTAACTTACACTTAACACACGCTAAAACACAATGATCACATTAAAGCCACAGTGTGTAATGTTTCAGCCAAAAAGAGATTGTTATTGTTTGTGTTCATAGCAGGTGACAGGCTCCCTCCAGAAAGTTACACACTGTACCTTTTAACAAGAGAAGTCCGCCTCCACATAGGGGTTATGAAAATAAAATTTTAATCAAATCCAGAGTCAGTCGTTTCAGACGTCAATGATCAGCTTGGGGCTTTTTAATTGGGAGGTTTACAACCCATCCCTTCAGTAAAAGAATGTGGTTTGGAGCAGAGTTTCTGTGAAATTGCAGTTTTTATCCTGTTTATGTTCTTTCCTAAAATTAAGATTGAATTCCATATTTATTTGGCAAAAAGTTCATATGAATGAAAAATTTTGATCAACCAATAAGAGAAAATAAATCTATTTAACAAATTGATATTTTGCCCTAGCACCCAGTGGCATAGAAGGATCCAGATGTTGAATTTTCCAATGGGGATATGAAATTATACCTTAACCTTTTGGATTATATTGTAACAGAATGGATGTACGAACAGTATTAAACAGTTTGAACTCATTTGTCTGTGTTGTTTCAGATTGTGTACGCTGCAGTGGACTGTACCAAAGGACAGAACCATGAGCTGTGTAAACAAGAGGGAGTGGAGGGCTACCCCACATTCAACTACTACAACTACGGCAAGTTCAACGAGCGTTACAACGGAGACAGAGGGGTATGTGGACGTATTTGTACTCTAACAATACTGCATCATAATGTCAAATGTTGAATCCATATATAACATGTTCATCTTGTGCACAAAGGTCTCTCCAACTTAGTTTTCTTGTCTTTTTTCCTGTCTGTTATGCATTTCTAGTAGTGCTTATCAATCCTTTATGGTGTACTCTCATAAGAAATATTCTAGCTTTGTATAGTTTTTCTTACTACAAAAATTGGCTTTTCAGTTCTAAGTAGTTCTGTTTAGGTTTTATACTAAGAGGGAGGTTATATCAAATTGTCAGGTTTCTTTACAAAATGTTGCCAAGACTCAATTGAACTGAGCTGGGGTTGTCGGGAGATGATTTCTAGATGTACTTAAATAATTATGACTGTGTACTCCTGACAGTATCCCAGGGGTGACAGTAGCTCAGTTTATAGTGTTTATGTCTATTGACCAGAAGGTTGGTGGTTCGAATCCTGCTCTCAATATAGGCATCATTGGTAGAGCGGTCAGATTCACTGGTGCACAGGTTGCCAACCAACTTTGAACAACACAGATGAATGCTCTTTGTTGTGTCCTTGGGCAAGACATTTAACCCTCGCCCCCAGTGTCTGCGTACACTGGTGTATGAATGTGTGTGTGAATTTGTGAGTAGTTCCTTGGTATAAAGCGCTTTGAGTGCCTTGGAGGTGGAAAAGCACAATATAAAAATGTTACCATTTTCCATTTATTCTCTTTTACAATAGAAAACATTATCTTTTAGTGAAATTGAGTTGAATAACTCGGCAAACCACCCAGAATAAATACTATTAAAAGTGTTTGGGTTTCTTTTTGTGCCACTTTTTACTGCTGTCAATTTCATTTTACAGTGGGGGTCCCGAATCTGCTGCTTGGTTATGTTAGCGCTTCTGGCCTGAAAAGCTTGGGATCTGCTGCACCAGCACATTGTGTTTCTTTGTCTTATGAAATCTTCTGCATGAATTAAAGATTATACATATTATTCTTGCTTGAAAAATACATATTGTGCTTTTGTGTTTCCAGGAGGCAGGGTTCATCGGCTTCATGCGCAGCCTCAGAGGTCGCGACCAGGAGAAAGTTGGAAAGAGAAAGGACGAGCTTTGACCGGATCCACGTCGCCCGCCACAGTTTGTCATTGCACTGTGAACTTTGTCCTTTGCCCCTCGCTTGACCCCTGTATCCCGGGGTCGCCCATCCGCACTGACGGGGGAGATGAAGACTTGATGACCTCAGCGAAAGGCTATTTTTTTATACAATGATTTGTTTCATAGAGAAGAGATACGTACCACCAAACACCATTGAAGACTTTGAAGATCTTAAAGGGGCATTTTGGGTTTTAAATGTTGCTCCAAACACTGTGACTGCATATGACATCCAATACTGTATCTATGCAATATTATGGACCCTTTTTTACGCAAGTTTAGGGGGTCCATAGACTGGAGTTGGTGGTGGGCATTGCCATTTTTCAAGTTCTAATGATTTTTCTATATAGGTTAATGCTGGAGAACTAAAAGATATTTACCAATCATTAAATACTGGGCAAGTAATGGGGTTGTTAGATAGAAGGGATATAAGCACTGCTATGGATGATTTCAATGGTTTTCGTAATCGTTTTTTCAAATGGGCCACTATATGTGTTCTGATTTGAAGTAGCGATGTTGGACGATATGACAAAATCAAATTGGGATGATCTATATATATAAATGGTTCTATGGTGATCCGATGCTTTAATACGGCTCTATGCTTCCCGCCCGCTAATCCTATTGGTCAGCCTCTGTCATTCTGAGAGTGAGTGACAGGTGGGCACAGGGTTTTTATGGCATCTTACATTATTGATACTTTGCAGCCGATGTCATCAACGTTCCCTGGTGATGCTCTGCTCTGTCTGTTACTGAAGTTAATCTTTAATCTGACCTTTGTTTTACATAATCTGACTATAAAGAATTTATTTAGATGGAACTGCAGCAGGTGAGATGATTTGAGATCTTAAACAAGTCTCTCGCACATAAAATAGTATTGATCACAGGCTCCTGAAAATGTTGTATTGTTTTTCTTGCATTTTCTTTTTTGGCAGTGTTCGTTAATATGTGCATTGTGTCGCCATGGTAACTGATGAACATTACGCTATTTAGATGCATGTAGAAACTCCCTCACCCCTCCTTCCCCAGCGTGATGCCACTGCTGCAAAGTATCAATAAAGTGTGTGTGTCTGTGTAATCCCTCTTTCATCCAGGTAGGTTCTATTGCAAAAGAGCATTTAATTATGTCAACTGGACGAACCTGAATAGATTTCAAGGCTTCTTTAGTCAGTATTCACTCCAAAAACTTTAGTCCAGTTGACAGCAGTATTTTGTTTTGTGATTATAAAGCGTTCTAAAGTAACAAAGAGTTTTCAGAGTTTTTAACATCTCCCTACCGTATGACTTAAGTGGGGCCTTAAACCAAAATAAAAGATAGCTGAAAATACTGAAGAATTAGTTGGGGTTTTGAGGCCTGGTGCCATTTCATTTTCCCTTGAGAGAGATTTGAATTAAAAAAAAAAATACAAAATGCCAAATATTAGTGCACATAACGCTTGACATTTCCACACTTCAGCATTCCCATATTTTAAATGATTCCCAGGATTCTGTCGTGAGGTGGAATTTAAATGTTTGATTAATAAATATTGGGTTGTGGGCATGTTTCACAAAGATGGATACAACACATACAGATTAATAATTTACTTTAATGTTTGAAATAGAAGAAACATTCATCATACCTTACTCAGTGTGATCTCTACGGTTCTGAATTTTGGCTACTGATGGCATTGTAATTACTGCTTTAATACAACTGGCAGTATTGTGGTAACACTTGATACACTTTAAAGGTGCATTGTGTAACTTTTCTGGTGGAGCGTCCATCACCTGCTTGTTTCTATGGATATGTCATTCCACAGTATGACATGAAACAGCTCTACCTTACATTTTTGCAATTCCAGATGGTTTTATAACTCAAAAATATCTAGAAAAACAGGGATTCTGACTGATCTGTAACTTGGTCTGGTTTGGTCTGCATGATGATAGAAAGTTTTAATGCCATAGTGTGAAACATTCCAGACAAAGCAGTAACATCTCCATGGAGAAAAGCATTTGACAGACCCTCCACCAGAAAAGTTACACAATGCACCTTTAAATTGCCTTAATAGAGGATGAACAAATGCTTAGTAACTTAATACTCTAACCCCTTGATTCAGTAGTTACTAAACCTGAATCATTCTTAACACACTTAAGTTCATTAAGAATTAAATCTTTTATCAGGTTTCTTAAAGATAATTTTATGTTGTACTGAGTTGGTATAAACAGGTTACATGTGTGCCAAAATAGATTTCAAAGTTAATGTTTGTTAATGGTGCACTATCTAACCTTTCTGCTTGTTTCCACGGAGATGTTATTGCATGGAATAATCTTCATGGAGACAAGCTGGTCAGATCTGTGGAGAGGCAAGTACTACCCAAACTAAGATTCTGGATGCGTTTTCTTGAGGTATAGGTTTTGGCAATAAAATCCCCTGTAAATGAATAAATGGAGGAGGAGATAAGCAAGTGACTCACCCTATGCCAGAAAAGTTACATAGTGCACCTTTAAGCAAAATATGCAAATAAACAAAAACAGACTAAGCATTAAAATACAATGTTGGGAAGATTAACTACAAAAGTACAATAACAAAATACGAACAAATCGCTAGTGAGTGCAGAAAGCAGCATTTGTGACGAAAGCTGTCAAAGGCAAATGGTTTCATTGTTTGAAAATGCAAATAATTCAAGTGTATATTTACTCTCTATAGGCTGTTTTACTAGTGAAAAAAACTGGTCCATTGATACTTTGCAGCTGATGTCATCAACATTCCCTGCGGTGATGCTAACTGTAGGCACTGCTCTGTCTGAGGCTTTGTTTTAACACAATCTGACCTGAAAGAACTCAACTAAACAGGACCGTGAATACCCATATTGATCACAGCCTCCTGAAAATCTGTAGTTTAAATCAATGTATGAGTTTTGAGACTATTTTAAAACTTTTTAGGCTGTTTTTTGCTAATATACACATTGTGTCATCAGGGAAACCTCTGTATATTCTGTCATACACATACACGCAGAACAACCCCAGCATGATGTCACTGCAAAGTATCAATATGCTATGAAATCCTACAATCTACTGCTTATGTTATGCACCAATGTCCCTAGTTGGAATGCACCGTTCTTGGGTCCACCATCTTGCAAAGAAATGAATACAATACAGTTTACTATCAGAAAAATGTTGTCAACCTTATTTTGTCCTCTTAAAAAATATCAGTTATCCAAATTTCATATCGTAACCTCAGTTCAAAATGGTTAAATCTACATATTAGTTTTGCCATACACTTTCCTGGTCTTATTTCTCTTTCTCGCCTATTAAAAAACATGATTTCAACTACAAAACACAATTATTTCTCTTAACACAATTTTCAATGATTTCCTGACATTCTTGTTAATAGCTTTGTGCCATTTTGTTCACAATGCTAGTTATTTCAATTCCCACGCTCAAGTCTGTATGAATATTTAAACAGTATCTGTAGCTAGCTGTGTTCTATTATTCAACATTATGAAAAAGGTTCTCAGGGAAACATATTAAAGGGAACTAGTTTGTTTTGTGATTTTAATTTAGCTTTTTTTTTTTTTTTTTTTTTTTTTCAATTGAGCTGGATACGTTCATTAAATCCAATATGTTTACATGTTTGTCCCAGGTGTTGAAAGAATACGTTGAGTCAGTGTTCAAAGTTGATTGTGTGTTGAAAAATGCAAATTTGTTAAATGAGTTGGTGGAAAAATGTTTTGTAATTATAGTGTTGATAATTTCACATAGTTTCAGAATGATGGAAAATAATGACTTTTGCTATAATAATAATGAACTATTTAAAACAAGTACGTGTTTTGAATGGTAAAAGTCCTCAAAATGGCACCTGTAAATGCAATACTGAATTGTAGCGTTTCAAACTCTGACCATTAGGGGGAGTCAGTAGCTCAATCACTAAACTTATTTAATGTTGGCTGATTTCTGGTTTTCATATCCATATTTTTGTGTCCTTGGGCAAGACATTTAAGAATTAATATTCGTCCAAATGTAAAATGAGTAAAGGGACACTGTGTGATACTTTTTTATGCATGTTTATGGACATGTTATTGCTCTGCCAGAAATGTTCCGCAGTATGGCATTAAGCGTAGTTATCTGGATTGAATTACAGGTGTTTTTCTTTCTCAAAAATACAATGGAAAAACATTCTTTGAGTAATCAGGCTCAGCTCCACATGGAGTACTTAGCTGGAGGATTAGCCTTTTTGGCACATATTCTTTACCCATGACGACTTTGCATTTCTCAACACAAAACCACCTCTCAGTAGTCTTATTTGTATTAGGGCTGGGCGATAAAATTACGTCTTTAAAAATCATTCCTAAAACATTCCTAACTTTTTCCCAAAACAAAATAAAAAACGTTGAGCAGTATTGATTTTGTGACAAGACAGGGTTTTAAACATTGCCAATTAACCCAAAAAATGCCCAATTTCCACTCCATGGTCTGAACTATGCTCCAAACTACATGCTTTAACTGACTGGTGACCTCCATTAAAAACCCCAACTATTCCATTGACAGTTAGACATGACTTCATCTTAACTCTCATTCAAATAATTGCCCAGCCCTAATTTGTATTCAGTGACTGTAAAGCTGTTGTACACAGAGTATTGCTCCAAGTTGCTGTTAAGTGTTTTCATAAAATGGACAAAATGGCCAATTTAGCTTCACTGTTTTTTTCAAGAGCCACACGTTTGAATGTCTGATCCCAAAGGTTTCATATTCCTGTCTCACTTAATGCCAAGAAGTCATTGTTGCCTTCTGTTGTTGACATTTTGTTGTTTATTTTTTGTTTATTTTCCAGTGCCCAGCCATATGTACAGTCCTGCCCTTTACAGTACGGACCTTCAGAGATCAACAAATAAAGATGACATTTTCAAATCTGTGTCTGTTGATACTCAAATTGAAATGTTAAAATGTGCAAGTTGTGCATTTATATTTAGTTTTAGAAAAGGTTTACTGTAACAGTAATAGGTTAACTGCAAAAGCTGACCTTTAACTTGACAAAGATACAGAATGCCTTTTATTCAAATGGCTGCATGGACATTGTAGCTGCAAGACAAATTACTATTACTTTACAGTGATATCACACTGGGGTGTTCTGCGTGTAAGTGTAATGGCGGAATGTTCACAATTTACTATATAGACATGATGCACATATTAGGAAATGCTGTGAAATAAGTCATCGACAGCACATTTTCAGGAGCCTGTGATCAATACAAGTCCATGGTCCTGTTAAGGTGTTTAATTTTCAACAAAAGTGAGAGTGACTAACTGAAAAAAGCATGTGACTGTAATGTAATTTGAGAGGGATTTGTTTAACAGCACAAATCAGCTTATTTGGTGTAGTTCCAGCTCGCTGTAGTTCGCTCTTTCTGGACGGTTTGTGTTAAAGATAAAGATGGATAGACTTAAATCTGATCTTTACCTAACAAAGCCTCAGACAGAGCAGTGCCCACAGTTACCCTCACACCTTTAGGGAATCTTGATGACATCAGCTGCAAAGTATCAGTAGTCCAATCCAAATGGTCTGAAAGATTGTCTTGTGTGTAAAACAAAGTATCCCAATACCTTTAATATACCTCATGTAAAACTGCTCGCCCTGTAGTTTAGACTTCTACAAACATGTTCTGAAAGACATGATTCTTCTTGTATTAGTGTAGCAGCTCATATCTCAGATCTCTGTTAAAGGTTAATGTTCCTGGACGTGATTAAAATATGCACTTTGAACTGAATCTTGATTTTAAAACAGTCATTTGCAAATCTAACCATGATTGCAATTCTTGTCCGAAAATGGGACCTACAACCTCAAAGCTTTGACCTACAATCTCTTTGAGAAGAGTTTTAATAACTGTTTTTAAAGTCCTCATCTTCAAGGTCATATATTACACAAAATAGACTTGTGACTTTAAGCGATGTTATAATGTTGTTACCTCCTCAAAAACATACCTTGTCAGGTCATGAATGTAGTTTTCAAGTTGACAGCTACACTTTACTTTTGTTCAGTAAAGACAAAGGGAATTTCAGAGCTGAAATTATCCAAATGATTTCAGTGAAGGTGTATGGAGTTTAAAAACATAGTGGAGCACTTCCCGTATTACCACATCACATCATAAGGTGGAACAGTGTTTTGATTGATTGATTGATTGATTGATAGCATTTATATAGCGCCTTTCAAGATACCCAAAGTGCTTTACAGTTCATTATACAGTCACTCCACACTCAGTGGTGGTAAGCTACTACTGTAGCCACAGCTGCCCTGGGGCAGACTGACGGAAGCGAGGCTGCCAATCTGCGCCATCGGCCCCTCCGATCACCACCATCACTCACGCTCACCCCACTTTCATACTAGGCAATGTGGGTGAAGTGTCTTGCCTAAGGACACAACGACACATTTTGCCACTGGTGCCCAACTATTTTCTGTTTGAGAGAAGAACTCAGCCTTTGAAATATGCAGGGTTTGTGTGTTAAATGTGTGAATGAAACAAAACCACAACTCCAGGTACACAGTAGCAACCACTGAAAATGACCATGTTTGTAGTATAAAAAGTAGTTAGTAGTAGTAAAAGGTCTTTTTAGAGCAGTCAAAATGGTCCAAAGTAGTAATATATTGAGTACATGGGATGAACCAACACGTTTCCATACAGGTTGTGTCTTATATCAGGGCATATAATAAGATACCACCAGCTGGGCTCTTTTAAAGGAGCATAGGGTCATGTGACAATGAGCAGCATGTGACATTACAAATATATAGAGAACAATTCTTGGACCAAAAATCTCTGAGAAGAGTTCACACATTGGCTTATTCATGTAAGAAATCAAGAACTTTCATCTTCACTAAGTTCCTCAGACCTTTTGACTGCTTTTTTACACAGCAAGTTTTCATAATCAATTGTGGTCATTTTCACTGTTAGTGAAACTGAGACATGTCCTTGTGGAGCACCTGTTCAGTATTTTTTACTAAGAGAACCCTCTGAAGCTCTCACCTTTTCTGTGTTTTTAAAACTCCAACAACTCCAGGTGTCTGTGATGAGGAAACAATATTATAACATACATCATAGCCTAATATGGGCCCTTTAAAGATCCAGTATGCACTTCTATCTTGAAAACATGCATTCTTACTGTTATCGGATTTGCCTCTCCCCAGATCTGATGTGTAACTTAGCCTGATTGCTAGTCTCCATGGCAATAAATAAGTGCCATACTGTGAAACATAGACAAAGTAACAACAGGAAAAGATACGCAGTGCACCTTGAAACTTGGATAAACTACTGCTGTCTCTTTATAGACCAAACCTTAACTTATTACTCCTCTAGGCTAGATTGCACCATGTTTTCCCTACCAACTTTACCTTGACTTTTTGATATTCGAAGTAGCCTTGTTAAAAGAAGCCGTTGCGTGAAGCTGCTGTAACATACCTAATATAGTTTTATGGCTAATTGTGTTTGGTTTACCTCCTTGACATTGCTCCCCTCTGTCTCCCATATGACGGTTCTGTAGTTTTGAATGCAGAGCAGACTGGTGCAATTATCATGCTGTTTTTCTGCTATTTTTCTTTTCACACAGAACTCTATTTTTTAATGTTTTGGTACGAGTAGGATGTAAGGTCACGAACCAAACAAAAATTATGGTTATTGGAGAAACTTGAAGATAAGCTGATAAAATAATACGTTTGTGTAATAAAACAGAACATCTTTTCAGCAATATCTTTCCTCCTTCATAATTTCCATTAATAATATTGTAATAGATTTAGGTAAAAGTCACAGATTTTGTTTCAAAGATGTTTTTAACTTTAACCTTGTACTTAAAGACGCACTATGTAACTTCTCTGGTGGAATGTCTGCTTGTCTCCATGAAGATGTTATTGTTTCACCTGGAATAGAATGGAGCTTGAGTAACATATAAAATACCTATAATTGATTAAATGCAACAGAGCAAAGTTAAATGCCATACTGTGGAATATTCAAGGCAAAACAATAACATTAAAATATTGTTTTGAAATTATTATTTATTATTATTTTGAAGTTTTAAGTACAAGTATAATACAAGTTACATTTTCCCCACTTCGGTGTTAATTCTTGGCTATTCTACCTCTGAGAAGTTTCAAACTTACTATAAAAAAATAAAAGTTAAAACAAAAAAGTCTGAGAAACTATTGTATCTCTGAACACATGTATTAATTATAGTATCTGGTGCCATTCATGTTAATAGCTTTATTCAAAAATGCAATATTAACATTTTAAACTAGCTCTGGGTCACTCATTAGATCAAAAAGTACACATAAAACTTGTAACCATTTTTTAACTTACCGATGCTGCAATCGTCCTGAATAGCATTTCTATTATGTTACTTTCCCTTTACAATCTTTGCCTTTAAAATGTATGAGTGCCACATTTAACCCTCCAGCTACCCCCCACCTCCCTCTGTTTTTAGCCCAGAATCCTGAGCTCTCAGTGGGGACCTGAAATGATGACATCCCTGGAAACTGCCGCTGCTGCTGCTGCTGCTGATGTCATTCTCTGGTTGTATTTTTGAATTTCCTGTTTTTTGTGTTGCAGAAAATGACAAAGTTTTCACTCAAAGCTGACACAAGTTAACATCAGGCTATCCATCAAACTGTCAAGAACCATAGACCTACATGTTATATACTTCCGTGTTGCAAGCAATTGGTAGAAGGTAGTAGCCTAGTTACTGTAGTAGTTACAGTAGTAAGTAGTAGCAGAATAGTATTACTAACAGTAGTAGCAGCATTAGTAGTAGGAGCAGTAGTAGTACTGGCAGTAGAAGCAGTAGCAGCTTTAGTTAGAGCTGTCGTAAAAGTAGTAGCTGCAGTAGTTGGAGTATTATTACTAGTAGAAGTAGCTGCAGTAGTTGCAGTATTACTACTAGTAGTAATAGTAGTTGCAGTAGTTGTAGTAATAATACTAGCAGTAACAGTAGAAGCAAATTATCACATTTTTAGATAGCGCTTTTCTACCTTCAAGACTCTCAAAGCACTTTACAACAAGGAATTCATACATTCACACACCACTGTACACAGACTCCGGAGACGAGGTGGGTTAAGTGTCTTGCCTAAGGACACAATAACAGCACTTCCAACCTGTGGGTCAGTGAATCTGACCACTCTACCAGTAATTTTTATGTCGAGAGCGGTATTTAAACTGCCAACCTTCGGATCATTTAACAGGTGCTCTTACCAACTGAGCTACTGCTGCCTCTCCTAGTAGTAGTAGTAGTAGTAGTAGTAGTAGTTGTAGTAGTAGTATTAGTAGTATTCGTAGTATTAGTATTAGTAGTAGTAGTAGTACCTGCAATGCTGTTACTACAACAGGCTACAGCTGATGCCTTCTCTCCTAAACATACCTCTCCCAAAACAATCACACATGTATTCACACAGGCCTACAGGGGGCAGTACAGGGGTCCACAGGTCAACACATTACTTTGGCTTTGGGAAATTGCTTTGCTTCTGACAGATGAATCCTCTAACCATTTCTGCTTGGATTGTTTTTATTACCAAGTGCAATTTTAGTCTACTGCATTTTAAAAGGGCACCAAAATAAGGATTGAGGGAATTGTGCATGCTAATAATGAATGGCCTATTTCAACTTTAAAGCTTGGCACAAACTGTGAAAACATGATTCATTTTTTATGTAGTTTTAATCTCGCCTTCAAATGAGTGTCCTGGCGCGAGGCAGTGGCTGAGGGCTCATTTCTGGTTTCTGAGAGAATAGTTGAACAGCAACAAGAAGGGACAAAGTTACGATGCACAAAAGTTAAGAAAAATATTATGTGGGCTAATGGAGGCAGAGTTCTCCTATAGTTAATTTAACAGTGGTGAACTGGTGATACCCTCAACACCCTAATAAGACTAATATATTACACACACATTAAAGATGCTGTAGCCTACCCATATTTTACCTTCTTGGAAACGTGAACAGCAGAACTAGTTCATTTTAAATGTTTTTCAGTGATCCAAATGTATTTCCTTTTGAATTCAGATCATTTAATTATTAACTGCAATGAGTTTATGAGCACTTTTCACAACTTTCAGAGATGAGAGCAGCACATGCACTTCCTGATTATCACACAATAATACATTTAATAATAAGATTAGACAGCACACAGCTTGTTTTGACCACAGGAGCTGCCTGTACTGGGGAGAGACACATTTTGCTCAAAAACATGGGTACATTGAGTACAGTGGTGCATTTTCTATGGATAAGGGTGCATGTTGTTGTTAATATTACTTACTTACCCTGATGTGAGTGTGTGTATGCACAGATTTTAATCCCCACAATGTGATAATGTATTGAGAAAAGCTGTAGTCCAGACCACCAAAGCTGGAATTGAACCCCCAAACACTATACATTCTACAAAAGTGATTTATCATAGATCTGCCATGGGGACCCTTGCCGAATAATTCTCTTCATACTTCTGTGCATTTGTGAGAGCTTCACAGAGCATGAATTACTTAGGGCTTTTGGAGCTATTTGCATTAGGAAATTACATCAGTAGGCTGCTCTCATCTCCATGCATGGTAAGAATACGCATTCATTCAGGGGGTCAATAAACACTGAAAAGAAAAATAATTATTATTATAATATTACATTATTCAAATATTATAACAAATGAAAGATTTGTAAAATATGCTGCAATTTAGCAATAAAAAAAATTTAAATAAAAAATCTCAAACTCGACAGAAAGTGCTGCTACCCATAATGCACCGCAGAGCAGCCACGTAAACGTGCAGTCCTCAGCGCTGTGTATGCTAGCCGCCGCTTTAGCATCTGTTAAAAACTGCTTTTATTTCACCACATGTGAATTTATACACGATCTAGAGGTAAGAGCAAATAGTCAATGTCTGCATTTACTCATCCCAAACGTGATACTTGAATATTTTTGCAAACGTGACCAAAATGGTGCTAAAATTTTGCTAACATTGGCTAAGAGGAAATGCTAATATTAGGAATTGGTTATGCTGTCAATAGTTTTTAGGTAATTTATTTACTTTTGATACAAATATAGTTTACGTGAATGTGGGCTGATATGTGTGCCAACGTAGTGTTCAAAGAAGTGCATTTAGATCTTTCTTTATTGCATGTTTTTTTTTTTAGCTTGTTAGCATCAATCATTTATAAATTTCAATCAATACGTAAACGCAAAGTGTATTCTCGTAACTTGATTAAAAGAACTATGCCTTTGTGTTTTTCTTTATGTTATCAGAGTGCAATATATATACAAAGACAGAATTGTTTATAAAAATAGCATGTCTTTCTTTTGAGTCCCTCCTCTTTTGGAGCTGTCCGTGGTTCTTAGAAATACTGTTAGAAAGAGATTTTAGGACTGTGTTTAGTGGTATTATAATACTTGTTATCAATGCAACAAAACACAGCATCAGAGAAAGTATTTTAGTCAGTATCATTATATACTTGGTTGGCTTGGTTTTATTTTTGCTGAACCTCGTCTCTTTTGTCATCTATAAATCAATGTATTGATTAGTTGAACGCCCATATAATTCTAGTGAATAAGCCAGAAGGAATTACACTGGTTTTATTTATTAATGTCCTGTGCAAAGTATACAGTTATAAACCTTTTTATTTTCTAAATGGTGTTGCAGACAAACAGCCACATGCTATTTATTTTTATATTTTATTGGTCTGAAATCAGGACATGTCGCACTGAAATTTCAGTTTTTTGTTTCTATTCTGTTTCTATCATACAACAACCTTGAATGGCATTTGATTTTTTAAATTTAACATTTAAAAAGTTATTGTTATTTTACAATATTTCCATGTTTCCTCTGTGGTGTTTGCATCCTTTTGATTGCATATAATAATCCTAATAATAACCAGGTCTAATAGCCTTATTCTCTTGCAGATCCCAGGTCTTGTCTCAGTCTCTGGATGTAGTTGCCTGTCCCGCGGTTAAACATGTCGATGGTGGTGTTTGCATCGGTGGTGCGGATCAAAGATGGCCTCCCTCTCTCGGCCTCCACAGATTATGAACAGGATGCGGAGCTGCAGGAGACAAAGAAACACCTCAAAACTCTGTCCAAGAAACTGAGCCAGCTTCCCGACCACTGCAGCCTCAAGTCTGGGCCCTACAATGTCAAGTAGGTTCACATAGAAGTCATTACATTTTATAATACTAAAAATAATGCATTTTATTTAAAACTGACCTATCGATTTTTCAGAGCTTTTTACCATGTTGTAGTTGTTTCCCCTTCTCATTTACCCTCTCAAATCACTGTAATTGTCATGATTCGTGCAACCCTATACACCCACTGATCTGTACTCACTTCCTTCTCCAATTTTATTTTCTTAACCAGTGATACATATAAGATTCGGCAATGTTGCATACTCATTTTGGTAGAAATTTTAAAAATTGCTCACGTGATCTGCAGCTATCCATAGGACATGCCGACTCTTTGTTGTGCTGATGTTTACAGTAATGTCAGCTCTCCTTGGGCACTCCTTGGTTTTCTAACGCAGAAGTCAGTGGTCATGTTTCTTTTATTATGTCCTTTTTACATGAATATTGCGATTTAAAATGTGCTAATTATAACATAATGAAACAAACATGGGTGTCATACATTATACTGTAGCTATATAGCAGGTTCAAGCACAATATGTGTCCTTTAAAGGTGGCTTTCTGGCCACTGTTGTATGAATAGGTGATTCCTTGATGTAATGTTCTTTGCATGCCCATTGGAAGTAGAAAATATAAATGCTACCACGTACAGTACACCAAGCCCATCATCAGCAATGGTTCAGTTGGTATAATTGTTCAGTTGATACAGTCACTGCATATGATTAAATTCTGTCTAAGATTTTTGAGTTTGTAAATTTATTGAATATTCTATGCATTCATTGCGTGCTTTTTGGTTTGAATAGAGATTGAATTCAAACTGATATTATTATGCAGTTTGTAGTTTATTTTGTTAGGTTTCCTTTATTGTGCATAAATTATGACGCCAACAAGGTATGAGAAATCAGGAGGGTCTTAAAAACAAACATTTACACTTTTATGTAATGACTATCTTGTTCTTGAGGAAAATATTGGATCATAACAGTTCAATGCTACTTTAAAAAGACAGCAATGTTTATTGATGACTACAAACGGGGCCCTAGATAGTTTTTAATTACATTTTCGTGATTGGAAAAAGTTGTATCCTTTTAAATGACCTCTGAAACTTAATTTCAATTAAGTAACGCCTTGCCATTGAAGTAAATGGATATAGATTTCCTCCTTGTGTTGTGAGGTGCAGTGTAAACTTGCCATGTTTGATTTGTTCAATGTTATTGAATCTTTTTTTAGATAAAGGACATGGACATGAAAGCCAGTCAGTATCACTTTATTCACCTTTTCAGCACCAAGTCTGTTTGATATAAGAGTCCTTTCATCAATTAGAGATTCAAGCCTTTTTAACAAATGGCAAAACACTCTAAAGGCAGAGACTCTTTGGAAAGTTTAGTCTTACTTAGGTTTACCAAAGTACACAATGAAAACATATAATGTTTTGAATTGTTAATTGCTAGTAATAAACTAGTATTAATACCTGTATTTTAGTATTTAGATTGAAGGTGCTATGCCAGATTTGTACTGTCTTAAAAACATGAAAAACAGAGCTAGATAATTTTAAATAGTTTGCAGTGGTCCAAAGTTATTCCTCACTTACCTTATGCATTACAAGCATCACAGTTATTTATCACAATTAGTTTATGTATTGGAGCTTATTATATGGACCTATACGATTTTTATTTAAAATAATGTATAACTTGCTCGAAATCAGTTTCCTGTGCAGGGTTGCTGGGTGCTCCCTTAAAGATAGGGTGAGAGCCCAGTCACACGGAGGAGCTCTGAGTAGAGCCGCTGCTCCTCCACATTGAGAGGAACCAGCTGAGGTGGCTCGTGCATGTGTTCTGGATGCCTCCTGTGCGCCTCCCTCCGGGCATGTCCCACCGGGAAGAGGCCCCGGGGAAGACCCAGGACACGCTGGAGGGACTATGTCTTTGTCTCTCGGCTGGCCTGGGAACAACTCGGGTCCCCCCAGAGGAGCTGGAGGACATGTCTGGGGTGAAGGAAGTCTGGGAGTCCCTGCTTAGACTGATGCCCCCTCAACCCGGCCCTGGATAAGCAGAAGAAAATGGATGGATGGATGGATGGATAATGTATAACAATACATTTTATCTTAATACAACATGAATGTAATCACTATGTTAGACTTAGGCCTTGTTCGCATCTACAACAAAATCTAATTATAATCTGATTTTTTTGTCATTTTAAAATGACATAAATGACATCTAAATCACAAAATCTGATGTGAGTAATCTGAGGAACCATGACCAGAAAGAAATTAAATGATTTTGCTGTTTGCGTGTCATTATGACTCTATAAATCTTATAACTCATATTATGCTACTTTCTTAACGAGAAACATATGGTTATAATGTTGTTTCTTCATCACAAACATATCAGGAGTTGCACTTTATTTCATTCACACATGTTTAACACACAAATCCTGCATATTTAGGCTGAGTTTTTCTCTCAAACTGAAAACACCTTGTAATGTCATGTGGTAATACAGAAAATGCTCTACTGTGTTTTTGAACTCCATACCCTTTCACTACAATCATTTGAACCATTCCATTCCTAGAATTTATGATCTCTCCTGAATAAAAGACTAAAGATAGCTGTTAACTTAAACTATCCTTTCATGACATCACAAGGTGGAACAGAGCATTTTGAGCTTTGGAGATGTAGAAAGACTAATAATAAAGGATTACTCAAACATGTGTGAATGAAACAAAACACAACTCCAGGTCTGTTTTTGGGGATGTTGTAACATTTTTTAAAGCTCACAAGATACAATTTTGCGTAATATAGGACCTTGAATCAGATTTTGAGTGCGCGTGTAACTGTAGCCAGTGTCTAATACAGAAAGCACTATATTTCTTTATTTCCAAGTCAATGGCTCTGAAGTATTCACTGTAACATTTCCCTAACGTCAGCTAACATTTTATTCCTTCCACCTCATAATAATCACCCAATTATCGTGTATCCTTGTTGACATTTATGTTTTACACCCTTCCCCGTGTACGCGCTGCTCTGATAACCTGAATTCATTCTCTTTGCCTTGAGCTTTCTCTGATAACATAGAGGTCTTTGTATCTGGGGATGTAATTTGTGCTTGGTTTATCAATTGAATTAGCTCTGCGGGCCTAATAGATATGAATGTAATTGGATGTTTAATTAAGCAGTAATAGGTGTAAATGTCAGTAAGGTTTTAATTATCTTAACTGGATTCTGTTTGTGGTATTAATTTGCATTTTGTTCTGATATGGCATAATACTATAACCACTTGCCTATTAGCCATAAGGGACTTTCCTGGAGTACCATACTATTTACTTCGCTTTATAATTCATTCACTGTAGCCACAACTGCCCTGGGACTAAATGACTAATATGGCTGCAAATGTGTCCCACCGGAGTCTCGAACTACCTGCTACTCATCTGACATGGGCAAGGTTGGGAAAAAAACAAACCTTCTCATTATAAGATGACCGTCTGTGCTACAACTGCCCACTGCGAATTGTGAACACAACAAAAGCTGCACCAAACTTGGACTGGACCAGGACTAAGCCAGGAATAAACCTAGAGTTAACCACGGCTGAACCACGGCTGAACCACGGCTGAACCACGGCTGAACCACGGCTGAACCACGGCTGAACCACGGCTGAACCACGGCTGAACCACGGCTGTACCAAGGCTGAACCACGGCTGAACCACGGCTGTACCAGGACTAAACCAGGACTAAACCAGGACTAAACCACTTTGACAGATATGCTCATCTTTGCAGACTGGGGACAACTCAAAAGAATCATACTGAGTCAGCTCTAAAGCAGGTCTAAAGCAGGTCTAAAGCAGGTCTAAAGCAGGTCTAAAGCAGGTCTAAAGCAGGTCTAAAGCAGGACAGATGAATGTTGACCACTTAAGACCAGTAAGACCTTACAGGAGCTGCTGTTCAAACCCAGTTGTTAAGCCATCAAAATTTGTCAAAATCACTCAAATCATTGTTTAGCAGTTATTACTTACATAATTTTTCTCTTGTATTTCAGTTTCACAAGCTCCCTGGGCGTGGGGTACCTGATGGTGTGCACGGCGAGTTACCCAAACGTTCTGTCGTTTTGTTTCCTGGACGAGCTTCAGAGAGAGTTCATCATCACGTATGACCCAAAGAGAATCAGCAGCGTCGTGAGACCATATTCTTTCATAGAGTTTGGTGAGTTCAATGTTAGAACAGAATAAAAGATCCACTGACAATTTTGCGCTAAAAAATGAGCACATGAGTTAAAGCTGCACTGTATAACCTTTACTGTTATTGTGTACATGCTATATATTTAGTTTTTATATTTAGACAGTCTTTTTGTTTTATTTTATGAATGTTTTTAGTCTAGTGCTTTTAGTCTAGTATTATTAATTGTTTTATGTTGCACAGCTGAAGCTAATTCCTATTTTGTGAATTTTGTTTTGTTGTTGACAATGGCAATTAAACTGATATTGTATTCTGATTTTCTAAATATTCTAGTGAAGTGTCTGCCACCTGCTTGTTATTGCTTTTCCTAGAATGTCCCACAATATGGCATTAATCTATCTCTAGGAAACAAGTAGGTTACAGACAGCACTAAGCCAAATAGGCCAAATTACAGCTCAGGTCTGTGGAGAGGTAGGACTGCTCACAGTAACAATGCATTTTTTGTGATGAAAACTATAATTTAATTCATGCAAGAATGGTAAGTTTAATGCCATGCTGTGGAGACATGGAGACAAGATGCTAGTTTTTATTTTGCAGCAAAATATCAGTATTTTTGTTGTTATCTACTTTTAGTCATAGTTTTAGTTATTTTGAATACTTTTGATTTTATTTCATTCAGCACAAATTTTACATTGAAACAAATTTTACATTGAAAAAATTATGACAGATATATTACAATCAGTGAAACTAACACATTTCTTTTGCCCAGCCCTACTATGTGTATAAAAACAGTTGGACCCTGTGCCTCAGTAACACCCCTATCTTTCCTTTATTTTCTGTTTCCCTAATATTATGTCTGTATGTTTATTTTTAATGCTGTGTCTCTTCCATCAGACACTTTCATTCAGAAAACAAAGCAGCGCTACAACAATCCCCGCTCTCTGTCTACAAAGTTAAACCTGTCAGACATGCAGACAGAGATCAGACTGAGGCCGCCCTATCAGCTCTCACTGGACGAACTGCACCAGCTCAATGGGAGCAACAAACACAACAACCCCAAGTACAACGGCATCGGTAAGAAATAATAATACAAGGCAACAGACTAGACCAGTGTTTGTCAAACTGGGATTTGTGGATGCTTGGTGGCGGAGCAGTAGACAGGGTTGGACCCTCTTCCTATTAATTTATATTAAAGGGGTCCATGTGATGTTTCTTGCCCCGGGTCCCCATATTTCTGTTGACAGGCCTTGGTGATACGCAAGCTTAATAATTTATTTAAAGTGGCTATGACAAGTTGGACTACTCATTTAACAAAAACAGTTAACATAATTATATTTCAGATTTTACAAAAGATTAACGCTTTCTTTCCTAGTTTGGCTGTTTTTTAGGTTTCATATTCATGACTCACTAGGGAATTCTATAACTGTTTACCTAGCAACCATCTGGTACACTGAGCCAAATCTCCTCTAATGTACACAGAGGTCATTATTTGATGAATAAAATAAAAAAGAAAACATCTTTATTTTGCTGAAATCATGTTTAAAGTATTATAAAATGTGTTTTGAAAGTATACCAGTAAATTGTGCTAATGTTTTTTACAGAATTTGCCCTTCTTGGTTAGGGTAAAACTATCACATATATATTTACAACATGTTATTATACAGGTTGCAACTAATAAAGTAAAAATTAGTCATGAAGAGCTGTCATACGCAATTTCATTTAGAGAACATTTTAATTTGTCCATAGTTTTGCTCATCTTTGAGAGTTTAGGTATTGGGTAATTCTTCCCAAAGACTCGATTTAAAACTGCAGGGGGACGTGTGCTTTCAGGCTGTGGCTCCCAAATTATGGAATGCCCTACCCCTAGCCCTCCGTGAGACAGACTCTATAGACTCTTTTAAAAAGCAGCTCAAGACACTGCTTTTTAGACAAGCTTGAACATGTTGTTCATTGCACTGTAAAGCACTTTTTTATCTGTGAAAAGTGCTTTAAAAATAAACGTACTTCTCTGGCATGTGGATAGTCGTATTTAAACCTAATACAGCCGACCCTGTTGTATTCTGAAATACCACCCCTAGTGCCATCTACATTACTGTTGACTGATAACAGGTTTCACATCTACCATCTACTGGTAAAAAATTATTAAATAAACAGATTACAGATGGTAGCTTTAAGACTTGTTTTAGCTGTTATTTAGACCTGAAATAGTCCTGTTAAAAACCTGCTTTAGATCTGTTGTTACTCGGAAAGTCAAATCTTTTCTTTGGTGGTCCTTGGTGAGAAAAGTATGTGTGAGTATTGGTGGTAGTCAGACGGGCTGATGGAGCAGATTGACAGCCTTGCTTCCATCAGTGTGCCCCAGGGCAACTGTGGCCTGCTACCACCTAGCATGGAGTGAATGAAAAATGCATGAAATTGTAAAATTACTTTATAAGACTACATAAGACTAATGCAATGCTATTCGTAAAGGTGTAATGTTGTTGCCTCCCCACACGTTTGAGTAACCCTTTATTATTGTTAGTTTGTCTACATCTCCAAAGTTCAAAATGCTCAGCTCCACCTTGTGATGTCAAGTCGTGCTAGTTTGCAAGTGACCAAACTGCCTTTTACCTTTAGTTCAGTAGAGATCAGCAATTCCAGGGCTGAAATCCTCCAAATGATTCTAGTAAAGATGTATGAAGTTGAAAAACATAGTGGAGCACTTCCTGGATAACCGCATGACATTACAACGTGGTGAGAGTAGAACTTAGCCTAAATATGAAGGGTTTGTGTGTTAAACGTGTGAATGAAACAAAACACAACTCCATGTATGTTTGTGATGAGGAAACGGCATTATAACAGATCAGAAAATCTCATAATATGGGCCCTTTAAAAGTCTGAGAACACTGCACTTGACAGACACAGTGTTTTGAGTACGTTTCAAAACCTTATTGCATCTAATATATTTGAGGCCTTAATAACGTTCTCATTACATAATCAGATTGGCGTCATGTACACTACAGTCTAATTTCTCGATACCAATATAATAGTATCTCATTTTCTGCTTATCTCGCTTTTATTACCCCACCTCTGACACCAATCTCTGAAATGAAAAGCTTTTGTAAGTGAATATGAGAGATGCCAGATTATAGACGTTTTGTTAAGGTCAAAATGATGCACCCTCAAGATAAATTTCAACGCTAGAATGGTTTATCATGGGGACTTTTGATAGATTCTCATTACAAATGCTTCAAAATGAAAAGAATTATTAGATCTAGTGAATAAAAAATGTACAAATTTCAAGTTTTGTAATCCTTACTCGAAGCTATATTCATTTGAATGACTCAATTATTCAACAAAGAGTGAAACTGCCTTCAAGAAATATGAGTATATTAAAAAGAACATGTTCTATCTGAAGGTTTTACACTTAAAGGGAGAAGTAGGTTTTAAAAAGTAGCCAAATAGAAACTTTTATGTTAAACTGCACCATATACTTTTGCTATTACCACTAGTACTTCAAATACTGTGTCTATATAGGTTGTGCTCACATGAAATCACATTGAAGAATCCTTATAGTTTAAAAGTGAGCTGGAGGACAGGTCAAAATTCTATGATGGAATTTACTGTTGCAGATTTGTTGACCTTATTTATGATTAATATCTTTGTAATTACTGGGCCTATCCACATGAAATTAAAACTGGCACAGAGCTCAATGTCTTCTGTCAGTATTAATAAACAAGCGGTGCCATTATTCAACCAAAAAAAAGATGAGAGTTGTAAATTTAAAGGACTTTAAGATATGATATTAATCGCTGCTTAGGTCTGATGTGGACTCGGTGGCAGTCCTGGTGTAGACCTGGGTTCACCTTGATAAACTAAAAAACTAAATAGTTCACATATCATACTGTATATCTCCTTTAGCTCATGTGATTGTTTCTCCTCTCTCAGCTCCTACTCAGATGCTGGAGCCTCTGTCTCTGGCTGGGATCATCTCTTGTGTCCTCACTGCTCTGTGTGGAGGTCTGAACCTGCTCAGGGGGGTGCACGCCATAGAGAGCATTCTGCAGGTAACAGCTCTCTTTAGATATATACAGTGCTGCTAAAGGGGCTGATGCTCTTAAAGGGAAGAAAACGGCTGCTCTGGGAGGTTACTTTTTATTGTCCAGGCACAGCTTGACACTTCACTGTGTGAGCGAGTTGTTAAAGAGTAGACGTGAACAAACTTGATCAGGTATGTGAATGGCTGAGCCTTTAGACAAGCTTCATTGATTTCATTCACGTGACATGACGTCTGCACACTTTAAGAGATTATTTGAATTTGTAAGTGCTATGGCAACGATCCCAATTTTTCCTTACTCTAAAACCCATGAAAAGGTATCAAGAGAACTTGGCCCTTATTGGCCAGACTTAAGTTTGTTTTATATATATATATTTTTTTTTCTTTAACAAAATTGTAGGTTATGTCCTTTACAGTATTGCTTATCACCATTAAATATTATTTTAATGTTGCGTTAATAGTCATAGGATTGTACATGACCTAACTGTAAGATTTACATTTAATTATAAAATTATGTAATTGTTTTGTGGTAATTTTAACTCTCAATAGATCCGTTGCTATATACTGGCTCTTGAAGCGGTGAAAACATTTCCTCTCAGTACAAAAACAACATGATCCAATTATTGCTAAAATGTGTTGAACAAAAGCGATAAGAATAATTTTTTACTCGACTGTTGATGTGGCTGTTGTTTTGACAGAAAAACATAAAAGGCCCTGAGTGCAATCACAGTGATATTTTCTTGTTGTTTGTGTTAATTGTCTCTTTTCTTTTCTGCAGAACGACGGTGAAGACTTTAATTATGTGATTGCCTTTTTCCTGGGCACAGCGGCCTGCATCTATCAGGTCAGTCATCTGTGTCGGAGCACTTAACAGCTCTGCAGCCTGACAGGGACGTATTAGCAACAAAACACATTCTTACAAACACTTTAGCTTCTTGTGTGGATTGTCAGATCTGTTACTGTGCTGATGCCACAGATATTGTCACCATTCAATAGTTTATACCAAAGCTTTGAGACTGGCCATCACAATGAAGGATACTGGATAAACACAATTTTTTCCTCATGTTGATCAGCCGTAATTTTCTAGTCGATTTTATTTTGTCTTATTAAAAACAGATATGAATGTCTATCTTATTTTCCTGAATATAAACAAAACAGACTGAGTAACTTTTCTGGTGGAGGGTCCACAACTATAGCTTGTCTCTGGGAGATGTTATTTCTTTCTCTGGAATGGTAACAGCATAGTATCAAACTTATTTATCACTCCAGAGACAAGCCAGTGACGTCCCCAGATTAAGTTACAGGACAGATCTGTGGAAAGTGCCTTATTTTTTTTAGTTATGAACCATAAACCAGGTCAAAAAATCTGCATTCTGACGTCCAGCTCAGGTTAAAGTAGTTAGAAAGTTCAAATCTCTCATGAACCAAACCTTATAATGCTCTTTTATGCTTCATTGCAGTGCTATCTGTTTGCCTACTTCTCTGTGTGGAGGAGCTTTAAGTCGATCTTGGCCTTCGCTCTCATCTGCCTCTCAAACATGTATCTCTACGAACTCCGAAACCTTTGGCAAATTTTGTTCCACGTGGCTGTCGGAGCTTTCATGACATTACAAATACGACTACGGAAACCAATTGGCAAAGCACCAGACTACAATGTTTGACCATGGATTTCACATATGGACCTTTTTGGACAAGCGGGACACCGTACTTTTGCAAAAAACAAGCAAAGACGAACTGCATATCATTTTGTGGATTTTGATGGTAGGACCTTGCTGCAAAAAGAGATATATGGATTTTAAAAGACATTATTTTCATTCTTAATTTTTATTTTTAAAGTAACATTTGCAGCCAGGTTTGATGTCAACAGTCGTGCGTATGACACATTTTTGCAAAATCCACTTTCTCACTCATATCATAAAATGCACTGGTAACACTGCCTCATTAAAGCATGAACATACACTGAATTCATAATGAGCAAATAGTTTATTAAGAACAATTCTGGCTTAGTAACTACTTAAAAAACTGTATCAGTATGCAGTAACTTTATAACCAAATAATACACGTGTTGTTACTCTGAGCGGGCTCGCGTCTAGACAAACCTCACTCTTATTTGGACTTGTTTCCATGGAAATGTTGTTCTGAAGTATGGTTTCTATTTCACATACTGTACCTTTTTAATTAATACCGTAAGCCCTTAAGTAGCTACTAAGCCTAGATCACTCAAACTATGTGTTTATTATGAATTGACTCTTTGTTCAGGCTTTATTAAGGTGAATTAAGGTTATTATAAGGTGGTAGCAATGCATTATCATAATTCCTCATAAGAATGTATTATAAAGTTGTATGGGTGACAAATGCAGAGGTTTGAAAATGCAAAGAAAAATGAGACGGACAATTAATTTCATGAGTACAGTGCCTCCAACTGTAGAGATGTTTTTTTGTCACTTGTCCAGGAAAACATCTGCTTTCTTTATCAAACAAGCACATTTTGTATAGGTTGCCATGACAACAGCATATTTTGTCCACATGTTTATAATGCCCATAGATACAAGAACAAGCAATGCAGAAAATATATTAAACCAAATATATCCGTGATAATTATATTGCCAACACACGCACACACAGAGACACTAGACACAATATATCACCAGTTATTTTTATTTTATTTGTGTGTATATTTTTGTGGCCATGCAGTACTTTTCAAAACAAGCAATAATTCAAAATGTCAAGTGAGCACAATGGACCTTAGTGGGGCAATGAATAACTTATAACGTATTTTTTATCATTTCTAATATATTTTGCAAAGGTTATATACGCTATACTTATTGGTAATACATATTTGTAGAGAACATTTCACCGTCTTGATGTTACATGTGAAAAGTGATTTTGGCTTTTGCGCATTTGTCTGCTGTAGAGTTTTAATCTATGACTTCCGTGGATCATTATGTTTTATTTTGGACATTTTAAATTGACATATTCACCTAAAACCCCTTGGACTTGGGTTGGTAATTTGCGGCGCCCAGTGGGAGACAATTCCTGCCTGGTCCTTTATGATAAGAAGTAGGGATGGGACAAGATCTCGCGCCACAAGATTTTGCGAGACAAAATTGCCACGAGATTGTGCGCACATGCTGGAAATAATTTTGAGATTTTTTTCCCCATGTTTTTAAGTTCAGATTGGATAAAAGTTAAGTACTGGCGAGATACACTTCTTGCACAAAAGCAGTCCTACAGCAAAAATAAAGTAAAATAAAAAGAAACTGTGGGGAACTAAATTATGCCAAAATCTTGTCTTGTCTCGTTCTCATGGATCCAGTCTCGTGTCTCATCTCGTCTTGTGGAAATTGTATCTTGTCCCACTCCTAACATGAATACATCCTCACAACAATGGATAGCTGCACATAATGCTAGTGACTTTTTTTTTTTTTTTTCCCCAGTTACTGTATTTTCCACACTATAGGGCGCTCTGGGTTATAAGGCGCACTGTCACAGTTTCTGTCAATATTTTCGAATTTTCGCACATTAAACGAAACACAACAGTTAGATGGGTCAGTGGGACTTTGTTTGATGCTTTCACGGTGACTCTGGGCTTTGTTCAATTGTGGCGTGTAGGGAGGGTGTTGTCTGGGACTGCTGGATTGTTGGCGTGTTCGCAGTGACTCGGTTGTTCAGTTGTGGCTAGAAGTGGCACATTGCACTTTTTTTTTCGGTTTATTCCTCCGTTCCATTCCTCGTCCGCGTGGAGTGATGAGTGTGGCTGCGGGTGTGTTTTGCTGCACGATCGCTGTCTGCTCTGTGCGTGTTTGCGTGCGCTGTGGCTTTGTAGTTTACTGAAGTCATGCTGGAACACCTGAGTGGATTTGTGTATATGGCACTCTGGATTGCGCGGCGCGCACTCATTTTTTGATGGGGCTGGAGGCTTGTGAGTGCGCCCTATGATGTGGAAAATACGGTATGCCAAAATGTTTACGCAACACTGCCCATTCTTATGTGTTTTACTAATTCATAGAAGTAACAGAGCAGTTGGGGTGTACCGGTGGCTGTGAAAATGTGTGTAGATCAGAGCAAAGATGTCTTAAATACAGGAGAAGAAAGATTATAAAAATTTCAGTGTCACACACAAAAAGATGTCCAAACCAAGACATTGAAAACGTTCAAAATTGTGTCCACATTATATAAAAATCATAACCTATTTCAAAATTATTTCTTTAACAACCCTTCAGGTCACAACCAAAAACCATTATCATTCTGTATTGACTTTCACTGACTGGAATGCTTTGTTTTTACGCATTTTACTAAATTTTTGCAATGACTGAAACTATAATATTGTACCAATGAAACCAAGTGCAATGTATATTGTATATGTATATTTTGTATTTCATTTTCAGGCTTACTACATGTTACATTGTTTTTGCATTCGGTTCCAAATGTTTAAAAAGCAGAACTAAATCTATGCAACGCTGCCTTCAAAGTAAGTGTGGCTGTTATTTCAGTCAGAATGGAGCCAGCTGCTGTTTTCTTCAGTTTGTTTTTAAGCATTTTTATTTATGAATAGTAAAGCTCGACAGATATGATTGAGGTATGACTGACTGTTGTTCATTTGTAATTGTTGAAAGATCGAATGGTGTTTTACACTTCATGTGCAAGTTCTTATCAGTCCAAATGAATTAAAAACTAAAGCTGAACAATATTTTTGATTGTTTTCTTTTTTTTTTTTTTGTTGTTGTTTTTGTTTTCCTGGTAACTTGGTCAAGGAAATATAAGATCATGCAGTTCGTGTATGGTTTCTTCTTGGGTCTGCATCCTAAAATCACCACAGTATGCCTTAATTTTGAATGTGTTAGGCTACAAGCTTGGATGCGGTCTTAACAACAGAATTGATTAGTATGCATGTGATTTTTGTCAGTTGTCTGTAATGTGTGTATGATATTTATATGTTAGGCCCACAGCTGATTACTTAGTCTAGTCTGTCTCGAGTTAGTATTTTTTGCATTGTAGTTGTGCCTTGAGGAGGAGGAGGAGGAGGAGAGGAGGAAAAAGAGGAGGAAGAAGAGTAGAGGGGCCCCAAATAAGTTTTCACCTCATACACCACTCTGTTGACGCTCTGGTCCTACGTAGCGCGCACACGTGCTCTAAGAACAGTGATCTGCGGCTGCGCAAAACATGGAGCGACCCGGAAAATCCCGCTTCATGTTAGCGCCCGGTGAATAAACTGCATTGGATGTGAACAGAAGACTGCATGAGTGAAGGTAAGCACAGTTTCCTTCGGTATGAACACGCCGATCTGCGGAGGAGATCACGGTCATTGAGCTTTGATCACAGTACAACCCAAATGAGCAGGACGCACAATAAAAGCACTCGGCTTTGTACCGCAGCTCCACATGCATTAGATGTCTGCTAATTGTGTTAACTATCATGCTTATGCTTAGCTCAGAGTGTTCATTATAAGCTATAATAGGGTGAGTAGACGTCCCTATTTACCCGGGGCAGTCCCGGGTTTGAGCACTGTGTCCCCTGTCCCAGGAGATTTATCCCAAACCATTAATTTGTCCCAGTCTTATACAAGTAATGTCCCAGGTGTTCCTGTTTTTGACCAATCTGATCCTTGCCAGCAGTAAAGAGAGGCATCAATTGACATTTGTTTAGGTAAAATACAGAAAAGCTGCTTAAAAATGACAAAAACACAAAGAAAATGTGACTAACATTAGTGCAGAGTGCAGAACAATTATCCTTAATTACGCACTCGTTTTAGTGTTAATATTACTAACCACCCCAAACCAGGGATGTCCCAGTTTTTTATTTTGAAAATCTGGTCACCCTAAGATATAGTCTCTGCAAACTTAAAGGCAATATGTAACTTTTCTGGTGGAAGATCTGCCACACCGGCTGTAAACTTGGCTAGTCTGCATTTGTTCCATCACCTGGTGTTATTATTACTCAAAATTACCATTAGAAAAACATGCATTTTTACTGAGTGAACTTGCCTCTCCACAGATCTGACCTGAAACTAGGCTTGGTGGTGGATACACCTGTTTGTCTTCATGAAGATAGATCAGTCCAGTACCACAGTGTGAAACATTCTAGGCAAAACAAAAACATCTCACAGCACAGGAGACAAGCAGATGGCAGACTGTCCCACCAGAAAAGTTGCCGTTGTGTTTTCAAGTGTTTTAGCCTATATTTGTTGTGTTTGGTCCTGTTTTACTTTGTAGTATTTTGAGAATTTTTGTCAAATGTAAAGTGCAATACAAACTCAATGTATACTAATTGTTGTATTTTATTGTATTTTCCCCCCAGGTTTTTGGAGAGACAAGGCATCACCACTTTTGAAAAAATGGAGGAGGACATCCACACTCCTGAAGGCAACGCTAATGTTGTTGGTGGAAAGAAAAGTCACACGTGTGAGCAGTGTGGAATGTCCTTTAAGAAACACAGTCTCTTTTTAATCCATGAGCAGAACCATAAGGGCCCATTCAACTGTGAGACCTGCGGCAAGAAGTTCATCTTCTACAAAAAGCTTGAAACTCATCGTCTCACTCACAACTTAACTTTCCCCTGTGATGAGTGTGGATTGACCTTTGACACCCGGACCTTGCTTGGAGTTCACAAAAAAAAACACATGGAAAAGACTTACACTTGTACAGACTGTGGAAAGGCGTTTTTGTATGAATCTGCTCTGAAAAATCACAAACTAAAACATTCAACTGAGCGACTGTATGCGTGTACCCAATGTGACAAAATGTATAAATCTGAACTCACTTTAAAAGTGCATCAAGACATTCACAATGGAAAAAGGTATAGTTGTGATCAATGTGAGAAATCCTTTAGCTCAAATGGTCAACTTACTTTTCATAAACGATTCCACACAGGAGACCGCCTTTACTCCTGCGATCACTGTGATAAAAAGTTTGCAGTACTACAGTCATACAAACGCCACTTGCTAACACATACCGGCGAAAGACCGTTTGCATGTGAAGATTGTGGCAAAACATTTTTTAGAAAAGGAATGCTAACTATTCATCAAAAACTGCACACTGGTGTTCTGTTTGGATGTGATCAATGCGCGATGAAATTTACCACTAAACGTAAACTAAAATCACATAAGCTTGTGCACAGTAAAAAAAAACATTACCAATGTGATGAGTGCGATATTTCATACAAATTGCTTTCAAGTTTAAAGAGCCATAAACTCACCCATGAGGGGATCAAACCTTACACTTGTGATCAGTGTGGGGCGAGCTTCACGGTACGAAAAGCATTGGCAAGGCATAAAAGACTTCACTTTGCCGAAAGAAAATTTGGATGTGAGCTGTGCGGTAAAATGTTCCTGGTCAAAGCACAACTGAAAAGTCACATGGCGTTCCACTCGGACGAAAGACCACACGTCTGTAAAGAGTGTGGGAAGTGTTACAAAGACCCCAACTCCTTACGGAACCATCGGAAGACCCATGATGAGACAAAACGCCCTAAATGCGATAAATGTGGAAAGGTGTATATGAGTAGAGGTGCATTAAACCGTCACATACGCAGTCACAGTGGCATTTCCTATAGTTGTACTGAGTGTGGGAAAGTTTACAAAGATCAATATTCTTTTCAGCTGCACCTAAACATGCACTCAGGAAACCAACTTTACCATTGTGAAAAGTGTGGTAAACGGTTCACAAGAAGGAAATTCTTACTCCGACATGAATTGACTCACTCAGATGTTAAAGCACATAGCTGTAGCTTCTGTGGCAAGGGATTTAAGAGGACAGACGCTCTTAAGAGTCATATAATGTGTATTCACGAGAAGAAAACGTACAAGTGTGAAGAGTGTGGGAAATCCTATAAAGATAAAAATAGTTTGAAAACACATTTAAATACGCACTCAAAAGAAACTACCTTCCCATGTGATGAGTGTGGTAAAACATTTTTCCGAAAGTCTTCCCTTCGGATTCATAAAATTATCCATGAGAAAGATAAGCCGTTTGACTGTGAACTTTGCGGGATGAGTTTCGGAAGTAAAAATAAATTGAAAAAACATTACATATCCCACACGGACGAACGGAAACACGCTTGTGATGAGTGTGGACGAATGTTTAAACAAATCTCTACGTTAAAGAAACATAAACTTACTCATGTCCCAAAATTGTATAAATGTAAACAGTGTAGATGCGCATTCGCCAAGCCAGAGGAGATGGAAAAACACATCGAAACACACAAAAACAAAAAACCTCCAAAAATGGTGGTATGCGAGAAATGCGGAAAGAGTGTAACACATCAGAGATTCAGAGTCCATTACAATTCTCATACTAAGGAGCTTCTATTTCCATGTGAATGGTGTGATAAAATCTGCTTTAGTTTTAAGGCATTAAAAACTCACCTGGTAACCCATAGCAACAAAGAGGAAAAAAAGGATAAAAAACTGGACCAAAACCTCAAGAAACACAAATCTGATGATGCTAATACTATGTTCTTATCAGACAAGAGCCCACTAAAGCGACTGGAAATCCGGCTTCACAGGGTACAGATGGTGGTAGCATTGGGGAAGAGGGTTACAATTTTGGAATAATTGAGATTTTTAAGTGTTGTGAAAATGCATTTCATTTTTGTTCTTTCTTTAAAATTTGAATTCTGTTCAGTTGACAATTTTTTCAGGTTTTCTAAATAAAACAGGTATTTTGTTTTGCTTAAATATTTTGCCGCTTTTGCTTTTAAAGTATGCATATTACACCATTTTCTGATCTACGGTGCTGTGAAAAAGTATTTGCCACCTTCTCTTGGATCAGGAAGGTCACTGTATTATAATGATGTTTCCTTTAACACAAAAGCCCTGTATATTTAGGTTGAGTTCCTCTCAAACAGAAAACACTGTTCCACCTTGTGATGTCATGCGGTAATACAGGAAGTGCTCCACTGTTTTTAAACTCCATATAACTTCACTAGAATCATTTGGATAATTTGAGCTCCAGAACTGTCCATCTCTACTGAACAAAATTTAAAAGAGGCTCTGTTATGCTTAAAACTACCACTAAATGACATCACAAGGTGGAACAGAGCATTTGGAGCTTTGGAGATGTAAACAGACTAATACTAAAGGGTTACTCAGACATGTGTAAAGGAAACAAAACACAACTCCAGGTTTGTTTTTGAGGAGGTAACAGTATTATAACATGGCTTAAAGCTCACTAGAGTTTATTTTGCATAATACAGAACCTTTTAAAGATGTGCTGTCACCATGTAATTTTTCTTGTTATGTTGAGCATCATTATGCAATCAGTTTTCCATTTCTACAAAACTATTAGTCTTGCTAGGGCTACTTGGAGAATAATGTGAAAATCACCATCAATATTATGGCTATGTGAACCCGGAAAGATGAAGAATAATATTTTATAGAGTTATACAAAGTAGTTATAGTTTTGAGCGTATATGTTGTGGTAGTTTCTCGGCTCCAAATTTTGAAGTGCACAAAGAGCAGTTTTACGTTTTTATTTTAAGTTATTGTTTTTATTATTGACTGTTGTCTCTAGTTAGTATTTTTTGCATTGTAGTTGTGCCAGGAGGAGAAGGAGGAAGAAGAGTAGAGGGGCCCCAAATAAGTTTTCACCTCATACACCACTCTGTTGACGCTCTGGTCCTACGTAGCGCGCACACGTGCTCTAAGAACAGTGATCTGCGGCTGCGCAAAACATGGAGCGACCCGGAAAATCCCGCTTCATGTTAGCGCCCGGTGAATAAACTGCATTGGATGTGAACAGAAGACTGCATGAGTGAAGGTAAGCACAGTTTCCTTCGGTATGAACACGCCGATCTGCGGAGGAGATCACGGTCATTGAGCTTTGATCACAGTACAACCCAAATGAGCAGGACGCACAATAAAAGCACTCGGCTTTGTACCGCAGCTCTACATGCATTAGATGTCTGCTAATTGTGTTAACTATCATGCTTATGCTTAGCTCAGAGTGTTCATTATAAGCTATAATAGGGTGAGTAGACGTCCCTATTTACCCGGGGCAGTCCCGGGTTTGAGCACTGTGTCCCCTGTCCCAGGAGATTTATCCCAAACCATTAATTTGTCCCAGTCTTATACAAGTAATGTCCCAGGTGTTCCTGTTTTTGACCAATCTGATCCTTGCCAGCAGTAAAGAGAGGCATCAATTGACATTTGTTTAGGTAAAATACAGAAAAGCTGCTTAAAAATGATAAAAACACAAAGAAAATGTGACTAACATTAGTGCAGAGTGCAGAACAATTATCCTTAATTACGCACTCGTTTTAGTGTTAATATTACTAACCACCCCAAACCAGGGATGTCCCAGTTTTTTATTTTGAAAATCTGGTCACCCTAAGATATAGTCTCTGCAAACTTAAAGGCAATATGTAACTTTTCTGGTGGAAGATCTGCCACACCGGCTGTAAACTTGGCTAGTCTGCATTTGTTCCATCACCTGGTGTTATTATTACTCAAAATTACCATTAGAAAAACATGTATTTTTACTGAGCGAACTTGCCTCTCCACAGATCTGACCTGAAACTAGGCTTGGTGGTGGATACACCTGTTTGTCTTCATGAAGATAGATCAGTCCAGTACCACAGTGTGAAACATTCTAGGCAAAACAAAAACATCTCACAGCACAGGAGACAAGCAGATGGCAGACTGTCCCACCAGAAAAGTTGCCGTTGTGTTTTCAAGTGTTTTAGCCTATATTTGTTGTGTTTGGTCCTGTTTTACTTTGTAGTATTTTGAGAATTTTTGTCAAATGTAAAGTGCAATACAAACTCAATGTATACTAATTGTTGTATTTTATTGTATTTTCCCCCCAGGTTTTTGGAGAGACAAGGCATCACCACTTTTGAAAAAATGGAGGAGGACATCCACACTCCTGAAGGCAACGCTAATGTTGTTGGTGGAAAGAAAAGTCACACGTGTGAGCAGTGTGGAATGTCCTTTAAGAAACACAGTCTCTTTTTAATCCATGAGCAGAACCATAAGGGCCCATTCAACTGTGAGACCTGCGGCAAGAAGTTCATCTTCTACAAAAAGCTTGAAACTCATCGTCTCACTCACAACTTAACTTTCCCCTGTGATGAGTGTGGATTGACCTTTGACACCCGGACCTTGCTTGGAGTTCACAAAAAAAAACACATGGAAAAGACTTACACTTGTACAGACTGTGGAAAGGCGTTTTTGTATGAATCTGCTCTGAAAAATCACAAACTAAAACATTCAACTGAGCGACTGTATGCGTGTACCCAATGTGACAAAATGTATAAATCTGAACTCACTTTAAAAGTGCATCAAGACATTCACAATGGAAAAAGGTATAGTTGTGACCAATGTGAGAAATCCTTTAGCTCAAATGGTCAACTTACTTTTCATAAACGATTCCACACAGGAGACCGCCTTTACTCCTGCGATCACTGTGATAAAAAGTTTGCAGTACTACAGTCATACAAAAGCCACTTGCTAACACATACCGGCGAAAGACCGTTTGCATGTGAAGATTGTGGCAAAAAATTTTTTACAAAAGGAATGCTAACTATTCATCAAAGACTGCACACTGGTGATCTGTTTGGATGTGATCAATGCGCGATGAAATTTACCACTAAATGTAAACTAAAATCACATAAGCTTGTGCACAGTGAAAAAAAACATTACCAATGTGATGAGTGCGATATTTCATACAAATTGCTTTCAAGTTTAAAGAGCCATAAACTCACCCATGAGGGGATCAAACCTTACACTTGTGATCAGTGTGGGGCGAGCTTCACGGTACGAAAAGCATTGGCAAGGCATAAAAGACTTCACTTTGCTGAAAGAAAATTTGGATGTGAGCTGTGCGGTAAAATGTTTCTGTTCAACGCACGACTGAAAAGTCACATGGCGTTCCACTCGGACGAAAGACCACACGTCTGTAAAGAGTGTGGGAAGTGTTACAAAGACCCCAACTCCTTACGGAACCATCGGAAGACCCATGATGAGACAAAACGCCCTAAATGCGATAAATGTGGAAAGGTGTATATGAGTAGAGATGCATTAAACCGTCACATACGCAGTCACAGTGGCATTTCCTATAGTTGTACTGAGTGTGGGAAAGTTTACAAAGATCAATATTCTTTTCAGTTGCACCTAAACATGCACTCAGGAAACCAACTTTACCATTGTGAAAAGTGTGGTAAAGGGTTCACAAGAAGGAAATTCTTACTCCGACATGAATTGACTCACTCAGATGTTAAAGCACATAGCTGTAGCTTCTGTGGCAAGGGATTTAAGAGGCAAGACGTTCTTAAGAGTCATATAATGTGTATTCACGAGAAGAAAACGTACAAGTGTGAAGAGTGTGGGAAATCCTATAAAGATAAAAATACTTTGAAAACACATTTAAATACGCACTCAAAAGAAACTACCTTCCCATGCGATGAGTGTGGTAAAAAATTTTTACTAAAGGCTAGCCTTCGGGTTCATAAAATTATCCATGAGGAAGATAAGCCGTTTGACTGTGAACTTTGCGGGATGAGTTTCGGAAGTAAAGATATATTGAAAAAACATTACATATCCCACACGGACGAACGGAAACACGCTTGTGATGAGTGTGGACGGATGTTTAAACAAATCTCGACGTTAAAGAATCATAAACTTACTCATGTCCCAAAATTGTATAAATGTAAACAGTGTAGATGCGCATTCGCCAAGCCAGAGGAGATGGAAAAACACATCGAAACACACAAAAACAAAAAACCTCCAAAAATGGTGGTATGCGAGAAATGCGGAAAGAGTGTAACACATCGGAGATTCAGAGTCCATTACAATTCTCATACTAAGGAGCTTCTATTTCCATGTGAATGGTGTGATAAAATCTGCTTTAGTTCTAACTCACTAAAAACTCACCTGGTAACCCATAGCAACAAAGAGGAAAAAAAGGACAAAAAACTGGACCAAAACCTCAAGAAACACAAATCTGATGATGCTAATACTATGTTCTTATCAGACAAGAGCCCACTAAAGCGACTGGAAATCCGGCTTCACAGGGTACAGATGGTGGTAGCATTGGGGAAGAGGGTTACAATTTTGGAATAATTGAGATTTTTAAGTGTTGTGAAAATGCATTTCATTTTTGTTCTTTCTTGAAAATTTGAATTCTGTTCAGTTGACAATTTTTTCAGATTTTCTAAATAAGACGGGTATTTTGTTTTGCTTAAATATTTTGCCGCTTTTGCTTTTAAAGTATGCATATTACACCATTTTCTGATCTACGGTGCTGTGAAAAAGTATTTGCCACCTTCTCTTGGATCAGGAAGGTCACTGTATTATAATGATGTTTCCTTTAACACACAATCCCTGCATATTTAGGTTGAGTTCCTCTCTCAAACAGAAAGCACTGTTCCACCTTGTGATGTCATGTGGTAATACAGGAAGTGCTCCACTGTTTTTAAACTCCATATAACTTCACTAGAATCATTTGGATAATTTGAGCCCCAGAACTGTCCATCTCTACTGAACAAAATTTAAAAGAGGCTCTGTTACGCTTACAACTACCACTACTCACAAGGTGGAACAGAGCATTTGGAGCTTTGGGGATGTAAACAGACTAATACTAAAGGGTTACTCAGACATGTGTAAAGGAAACAAAACACAACTCCAGGTTTGTTTTTGAGGAGGTAACAGTATTATAACATGGCTATGTGAACCCAAAAAGATGAAGAATAATGTTTTATAGCGTTATACAATCTAAACTATAACTACTTTGTATATGTTGTGGTAGTTTCTCAGCTCCAAATTTTGAAGGGCAAAAAGAGCAATTTTTATTTTCAGTTATTGCTTTTATTATTGACTGCAGAAGGAATGTGATAGTGAGATATGGAACTTTTGAAGCTCTGTATTTTGCTGTATTTTTTACTTTATTTTTTGTTACGCAGTCAGTGTATTGCAAATAGGTTGAAATAAACTTTACGTACTAATATTGGCTTGTTTCCATTTTGATTTGAACATATGATATCTGAAGACAGTAGTTACAATAATGGTAATGTTTGGTAACAGTCTACCACTGGTTATTGCTTTGCCTAGAAATGTTCCACGTTATGGCATTAAACCGGGCTTTCTGTATTCAAAAATCAGGTGATGCCACAAAGTCAAGTCATTTTTTTCTTTATTGGAGCAATCAAAATACTTGCAACTAAATATATGTAAACTACACACAGTATGTCCCACTGTGGAACATTTTAAGATAAGCAATAACCTGGCACAAGAAATGTTACATAGTGCACCTTTAAGACATATGCTAAACAATGCAGGAGGATTTGTGCCTATGTTTTTGAGCAAATGGTTCCTCCTTGAAGATTTTGTGTGGACATTTCATCATTCATAAGATACAACATTTTCATTTGAATTGCATTATTTCCATGTCAACAGAAGACCGTCGCTTTGCCAAATCCTTCAAATCAGGAAGGAATCTGTAAGTCTGAAATTCAAGAATTGGCAACTGTGCTTTCATCTGAAATTCAATGATTGCTAGCTCAAACCTGGTAGCGTCCTCGTGTTAGCCTGCAGTGCACCTCCAGGTCAGGTGAGTAAACAGCCATATATAAAGAATGGGCTGCTGCTGTTTAGACCTGAGGCTCAGAATATCAATCTGATAACTTCTGCTACACACAATCCCCCTGGGCTCTCAGCAAACTGCAATTTATTACACCATCTCACATGTTTCTACTTGGTGTTGGTATGGAAATAGCACATTCAGTAGTATAAACCTATAACTGATGGGGGAAATATAGGACCCTACATTTAAAGGGCCTGTTTTTTTCATTCACACGTTCAACACACAAATCCTGCATTTTTAGGCTGAGTTCTTCTTTCAAACAGAAAATGCAAATAGAATCACACTTGATGTCATACAGGAAGTGCACCACTGTATTTAAAGCTGTAACCTTCAAGAGTCAGTTTGTGTAATATAGGATCTATAAAAATTGTCATTAAATCTGTTCTTTTAAAGAGGAACTAAATGCTAAATCAACTTTTTTTTTTTGCAACTACTTGGCACCTGTTGTTCCAGACCCCACCCCTCCTCTTTTGTAATTCTTTGATGTTAGTCTTGATTGTTTATACTTATATAACCAACAAAACATTGTGAAGACACCCTAAAAGATGTGGCATTGGATTTGGTATCCTCTTTGCATTTACACATGAAAAATGATCTATCAGCATCATTTGGAATGAAATGCTGTTTTTTTTAAACTGTGCTGACAGCATAAAGGGCTGTCTAAATGTCCAGTGTCTCTGGACCTGAACATCATTGTCACGAGTCTGCTTCACTGAAGGTCTCTAGAGTGAACATGTGATATCTGAAGACAGTAGTTACAATAATGGTAATGTTTGGGAACAGTCTGGTTATTGCTTTGCCCTACATCATAGAATGAATGACACATACGGAATGTAGAAAACAGAAAATAATTTCAAGAAGATAACTGAAAACTTGTTTTAGGAAAAAAAAATCACCCTTTGCTTTGAACCCTGGTTTGCACTTATGTCATTTCTTGACCCTGACATGGCACAGTATAATGAAAACCATTTCAGGAGACTCCATCCAGAAGTTCATTGAGAGAAAGCCAAGGGTTTACAATGCTGTCAACAAAGTAAAGGGTAACTACTATGGAGATTTGAATGTAAAATATAACAAAATATTTAGTTATTCAACTTTTTTTCTTAGCTATGTAATTCCTTATGTCTTGCTTCATATGTCCCCTGTGCATGAAATGTAGAAAGGAGTAAATATAAATTGTCAGGGTGTCACATTTGAATCATATCTCAAAGGTGAATTACAGAACTTTTCAGGAGGGCTTCCTTCTTCACTGAATGTAGAATAAACCAGTATTGTCTATATGACAATATTTAATGATTATTTGTTATATATATTTCAGAGAGAAGTGATGTACAAACATCTGGCTGCAGGGGCAGAGTTTGAAGTGTGAGTAACTGTTTGAATAATCGCACTGTTCCTCATATGTCGAGACCTTGCCCCTCCTCCCCTCTCTCTCCCCTTTAGTCCTCCAGGTAATTCACAGTATAGCAGCTCTGTTTGGCATGTGGTTGTAGGATGAATTTAGGTGTTCAGCCCCAATACATTTTATAACAACAGTCAACTATCTCACCTCTGTCTTGTCTCCTCCAGCTCGAACACACCCCACGAGAAGACAATCCCATCTTCCTGCCCACAAACTTGACTGGCTCCAGGTGAAGATGTGGGTGCCCTCCTTGGACTTCCACCATCACCAGGCCATCACCCACCTCCTTGTCTATAAGGTGCAGGTGGGGGCGGTGGGGTAGATTTTGGCTACATTTAGAGCTGCAAAAATAATTGAAATTGCATTGAAATAATTTTCTAAACATAATGCTACTTAACTGTGACATCATACTCACAGACAATTTCAGAGCTGAAATTATCCAAATGATTCTGACAAAGGTTTATAGAGTTTAAAAACACAATGGAGAAGAACTCAGCCTAAATATGCAGGGTTTGTGTGTATGAATGAAACAAAACACAACTCCGGGTTTGTTTGGGATGACGAAACATTCTAACATAGATCAGAAAATAGTGGAATATGTACCCTTTAACTGTTGTCCATCTGGTTCAGCATGATTCACGTCTGCACTGGTCCACACCTAAATGACCTCACCACACTCACAATATGCACATTACACTCTTTCTCACTTCTTTTTCTCTCCTCTCCACTTGCTCTCCTTTCTCCTCCCTCTCTTCCAATCTTCTATTTCTCTTATCTCTATCTCTTATCTCTTATGCCGTCTTCAAGCTTAAATAATAAACAGTGAGAGCAGAGTAAAGCTTTGGATGATGAATTAGATGTGACATTGTTGTAAACACGTGGTCTTGTTGCTTGGAGAGCAGGCTAGACATTTTCTGCTATTACACGGTATTACAGTCACTCCTTTTTGTCAATGGAAATCTAACATGTACTCGCACTTTGGTTTCTGCAGTTGCTTGGAATCATCTAATCAGATTTCTTTTTTCTGGTGACGCATGTGAAACGAAGGAGCTCACTGGTCAAACAAGATCAAATTTCTCTCGCCTCAGATTAGCAGGCAGCATTAGAGTTTATTGCTTTGCTCATTCTGCAAAAATCTCTGATGATCTGTGAAGAAGTGTGTACTCTAGATCCCAGACAGTGGTTGCAATGCTTCAGATGAAATGCGCTCAATATGTATGTTACAGTCAAGGTCTGATTCTTATTGCGTAACCATGCAAGAGGAATCTAAGCTGTCTTCTTCCTCGCTATAAAATTTTTATACATCAAAAATTATGCCCATAACTTTAAAGGGCCAATATTACGCTACTTTCTGATGTATGTCATAATCTTGATTCCAAATATAACCGGAGTTGTGTTTTGTTTCATTTACACATGTTTAACACACAGATCCTGCATATTTAGGCGAATTCTTCTAGCCTGATTCATCAACCGGTTTCACTTTGTTTCACTTCGTAGAAACCATTTGACCTTGCAGTGTTAGAATTCATTCGCTCGACAGTAGGCGGGTACTTTTTATCATTTAACCAATCACTGCTATTTGGGAGTCACGTATGTAATGCATCGCTAACGGGGCTAACTGGTATATTAAGCTTTTCCCAAATCCTGTAGGAAGAAGGGCAATAATGTCTTTCCCTTGATGAAATTCACCAAACATTGTCTTTATTCCAGCTTTAAATCCTCGATCTCAGGAATCGTTGACAACACTGCATATATCACTCAAAGAAGGACATGGGTAGAGGGGGCTGTGTGAAGTGTAAAGTTTCTCAATGCAGTGTTTGCATGTGTGTATTTACATTTTAAGGCTGTCAAATCAAATTTATTTTCTGTTCGCTTATGTCCCTTTTGCTTGTTTGTTTGTTTTTGGCAACCCCAAAATGCACTTCCACATACAGCACATTAAACAAGTATATACATACAAATACACATTGACACTGTCCAACAGTATATTATTTTATTTTACTGTGCTTTGTCCAGATGGGGTTATTGTTATGTTGTTCCACTGTATGATGTCATATGGTAATACAGGCAGTGCTTCATCGTGTTATTAAACTCCATACACCTAATTCACTAGAATAATTTGGATAACTCCACTCCTGGAACTGCCAATCTCTACTGAACAAAAGGTGAAAGGTAGACACTGACTTGAAAACTATACCTGGTGGAACAGTGCATTTTGAGCTTTGGAGAAGAAGACTAATAAAAAGGGTTACTTAAAAAAGTGTGAATGAAATAAAACACAACTCCAGGTCTGTTTTTGTGGGAACAACATTCTAAAATGGCTTAAAGCTCAAAAGAGTCAGTTTTGCATAATTGACCTTTAACATTTTGACTTGTTTTGTCTAACTTACAGCTGCTTTGAAAATATCCTTGGAACTTTTCACCCCATAAAGATACACCCATTTATTGAATATTTGATGCGTTAAGTACGTCATTAAAAGTGCTGTGACTTTAGCTCTATGTTAATTACAGCTGGAGGTGAAAATCTGTCATTAGTTATAGACACATCATTTAAACTGATTTGAGTAAGTGTCAGAACTTAGAATTCTGAAGTAACTTTTCTGGGGGATCTGCCACCTGCTTGTCTCCATGGAGGTTGTTATGGACTTACCTGGATTGTTCATTGTGTGGCATTAAATGTATCTGTCCTGCAGGTATAGAAAAAGAAAACATGCATTCTTATTGTATGTAGAGTTGCTTCTCCACAGATCTTACCTGTAACTTGTCCTGATTGTGACATCTGCCTTACTCCATGGAAACAGAATGGTTTAAAGATCCTATACGACACAAAATGCATTTTTGTGAGCTTTAAGCAATGTCATAATCTGGTTCCATCCTCAAAAACATACTTGGAGGTTTGTTTTGTTTCACTTACACATGTTTGAGTAATCTTTTATTATTAGTCTGTCTACATCTCCAAAGC